ATCGGCGCCTATTTCAGGTGGCGTTCTCCTCACCTCCCGCTTCTCCTGTCTGTTACGCTTCTAAAATCCCCTTCGTTATATGAAACAACAAAAACAGCCTCCGAGCTGAGATGAAGAGTTGGGTCATGTGCGGTCACACAGGCGACCCGTGTCTTCGCTGTGTTTTGTGGCGTTCCCCTCCATCGATGCGTCCCAGGCTCAGCGCTGCCCAGGACGATTGTGATTGGTTTTAGAGAAATGCAAACAAGCCAGAACATTTTTTTCCCCCCATATAGCAGATCATTCTCTCGCCCTGACAGCGCTGTGGAGAGAGAGAGGTCTGCACATGTGAGACCTAAAACTTTACCACTAGAGGGCAGAATAACTTCACATGAAAACTCACAGCATGTTACTGCTGAAGTGTAACGACCGACTTAAACATCCAGCAGAGCAACATTAGCTTTAATTAGAGTGACTGAAGTCCAGTGTTCTTCACCCTGTCCCTCAGTTTCTGAGTTACAGACAGATGATCTTATTATTTAGAAGAGAATTTGAAAGTAACGCGCCTGATCACCTTGAATATCTTCTTCTTCTTTTTTTTAAACCACCTTTCAGGAACAAAAAACAACTTTTCATGTTGATCTCCTCATGAGCTCATTCTGGTCTGTACACGCATCTCACTGATGATGTCATCGATAAGTCATTTCACTTCATCTTGACATTGAAAATATCATTTCTATTCTAATTAATAATCAAATTGATCATAATTATATCATTAATATTTCTGTAAGTGCAGGACTTTATTTTGAAAAGGCCTTGAAGCCCTTCCTGTATTTTCTCTTTGCTGTTCAGATGTTTAACATACAGCAGCTTGTTTCTCTCCTGACGTCACTTCTTTGTCCAGATCTTTTATTTCGGGAAACAGTTCAGTTCACAAAACAGTCTCTCCACAAGGTCCATTTAGTAGCTGTTTTGGATCTTTTGTTCGTCCACATGATCATCCTCACTTTCCTCAGCACTTTAAAGTCCGTCTGCTGAAGACGACCAATCAAACGGCTTCTAGATAAACTTTGTCTGCTACATTTCTCTGTCCATGTTTTTTTGTCTGTACCTTTCCATCATCAGCTCGTTTCCTCTTGTCCTGCAGAGTTTCTTCGAGAGTCACCCGGCGCCGGCGGCCGAGCGTACGGTGCAGCAGTGCTGCGAGAACATCCTCCTCAACGCCGCCTGGCTGAAGCGCGACGCAGACGACATCCACCAGTATCTACTGCAGCGCAAAGCGCCCCCAGTCTGAGCCGCTGCCCCCGTCTGAGCCGCCTCCTCCAGTCCCCTTCCCCCCTCCCTCCAGTGCGGACCTCCCAGCATCATAGCTGCCTCGGCCCCCCCTCACTACAGACCAGAGCGGGAGACCAGAGCGTACTTACAGCAGGCTTCATTTCTCTAAAGAAACTGTATGAAATCAAGAAGACAAAGCCAAGAATTTAACAAAGTGTTGGAAACACAAAGAGACTCTTTCTACGTTAACAAAGCAGAATCCATTTTAGTCAGACCAGGAATGTAGTTTTACCCCCATTCTGTCCACGAGCAGACGACACGTCAACAAGTCACGTTATTGAACCGCTGCTCGGCGACGGCGCAGACACACCACCACCCTCGAAATGATCGCTAACCCTGCTAACTGTACTCTGCATCACCTGCCCCCGTATGCACACCCTCCTCCACCTCTGTGTCGTAGCTGAGAAAACTGTGAATCCCCCTTTTCCTCACCCCGTCCCCCTCCCCCCTTGTTTATTTCCTCCTGCTGCCACTCGTTTTGAATGCATGAAGTGTGATTTTCTGCATTTGCTGCTTTGTTTACTTCTGTTTGTTTTCTGCACAAACAAATTATTTGTTGTTTTGTTTCATTCCCCTCCCCCTCTCTGTTGGTATTCGCACCCTCTCCCGCCTCCTTCTCTTTTCGGGCGTAGAAGCAGAAGGCACCTGGGCAGAATGGGGTTAATAACAGTAGTGTGTGTTGTAGTTTCCAACAGCACTGATTCTCCATTGCTAATAAACGATTAGGACGAGGCGAGCAGCGCTAGCATGGTACTACATTGTAAACTGTATAATGCAAGCATTTTTTTTTTCTTTTTGTTTTGTTTTGTTTTGTTTTTTTTTTTGCGGACGATGTTCCTTTAAAAGAATTAAATGGGAAAGTTCATGATTACCTGTTTCCACTCCACCCCCCCAAAACTCCTCGAGCTCTGTCCAATCAGAGTTTGTATAGTTTGAATCACCTACAAACATATTTAAACCTCCCCCTCTCCCCTCCCCCCGTTTCTTTATCTGCCACCCTCAATGAAATGAAGATATTGGCGTGTTTTTATAAGACATCAGATGCAGTGATTTATTTAAATGTTGAGATAATCATATATTCTGAGGAAAAGAAAAAAAAAAAAACACTACTTTTCGGGGCCTTTTCATGCTGAAGTAACATCAGGAAACGCCTCCTCGAACGGTTGAGCGGGAGTCCGGCTGAGGCCCGGTCGAGGCCCGGTCCAGACTTTGTGGATGTGACGGATCGACTTTGACTCCACTTGTCGAACTTGGAAGCCTTAAATTGGTCGACTAGTTTGCCGTAAATACTAAAACACTGAAGTGGGGATAATAGGCGACTTCCACATAACGTCAAATGTATCTAATGTGACAGATTATGCAGACTTGTTGAACGAGTATATCTATATAGAATTTACAATTTGATGTGGTTTTTTTTGAAAAACTCACCCACCAAGTCATCCAACCTGTTGTCGAGACCCCCTCCCACCCCCACCTGAACATTTGTTGGTTGTTTTTTTTTTTTTCTTTTTGTTTCTTTTTTGTTTTTATTTCTTTCTTTTCTTTTTTTTTTGTTTAAAACTACAGTTTGGTGTTCATTAAAGTGAAAAAGGATTATAAAAACAAATCATGTGAAATTAGTACACATTGATTCTTTGATGCGTGAGGTGTGAGTGTGCATGCCTGGAGACAGACTTGTAATTTATTTTGTATTATCTCACAGGTTCACAGAGGAGGAGATGATCACTGTTGGATTACAAATGGTTAAAGCAGAGTAACGTGTACAGATAATTCTACCTGACCAGAATAGAAATTGGTTACAGATCAACAGAGACGAGAACAGAGAGAAAATTCAAATGTCGACACGTTTTGGTTTCATGAAGAGTCTGTAGCAAATGTTCAGGCAGCGTTTGGCTTTTGTCGTCCGTGCAGATGTTTTCGTGTTGTTTTTTTTGTTTTGTTTTTTTCTAATGAATCTGACTTTTAGTTCAACATGTGGAATGTCTTTGTGGTTCTGACTTAAAGAAGAGGACAGCTTTAAATTTAGTGATGCCAAGGCAAACGTAAATAATATCCAGTCCAATAAAGTAACACTTGATGATACAGCATCTGTCACTACAAGACATTTCTCCAAAAGAAAATTAGTTTTTCCAAATCGTTCTGCTGTGCTGATTCCCGCTCATTTCTCTGCAGTGAGGGTTCACATGAAGATGTGTTTTTTGCTCTGGTTCAGATGTTGGAAGGTGAGAATAAGGCCTGATTACCAAGTGGGAAAAGTCCCAAAGGCCCCAGCTTTTCTGTAAAGCAGTTACTTTGTGGTATTTCACATAGCTGCAGATTTGTTTGGTAATATGAACCACTAAACCACAGGGAAAAAACTAAAGGTAAGGTTCCTATGATGGTAGCTACAAAGTTTTACGGGTCATTTTATCAGTTTATTAGGAAGTGAAGGAAGAGAGAGGAGGGGAATGACAACCCATAGACCCTGAAGAGAATCTGTTTATTTTTAGATAGTTTTGCACCATTTTTGACTTTTCCTCAAAGGAGAAAGTAGTTGTGGTGAGAAAGATGAGGAGAGGACATGCAGGTAAAATCCCTGAACCTGAACAGGGATGTTGAGGTTACTATACTGAGTCCATGTCTGTTTTTAACTCTAGACTTTGTAGCCAAGCTTCTCATCAATGTGTAGTCATTTGTTTGTTTTATGTATGACGAGTGTCAATGGGTTACGTGAAAAGCATTTGAGATTATTATTATTGTTATTATCTGGATCTTAAACCTCTAGGATACAAATGTGCCATAAAAAAAAAATCCAGTTTCAAATACCTTCTTTACTGTATTTCAGTAGATATCGTGCTAACGGGGCATATCTGAACAAATGTGAAATTACAATAAGACAGCTGATCTAAAGCTGGATGGGTGGCTCAGTAGATGCAACATTGATCTGGATGAGACGTGACTGACACCTTGCTGAATGACTCCAGTTAGATTCTTTCTTTTTGGGATGCATTTGTTTTCATTTCTATTTGACTACATATTTATTTTATGTTTTAATAGCCACACTTCTGATTATTTAAAGTAACAAACAACCCCTGGGTCAGAAACCATGTAGGGTCGAGCAAATAAAGACCTTTTCTTATCTGTTTGACACAGTTCAGTCAAAAATAAAACAGTGTAGGTTATTATAACACTGTATGTAGCTGTAGCATTCAAGTGTCCTCAACACTGCCACAATTTAAGCATTATTATGCTGCAGCATATTTATTTATGTAAAAATTCACAAAAATGAAAATTCTAGCTAAAACAACAAGCATATACACTCAGTCCCAAAACAACCAAAAAGTTGAATCAACACCTCTCTAAAACAGTTTATATACTGTATCCTAATAAACTGGCAATTGAGTGTATGACGTAATAAGATGCTGCATGGAAAATTTATTTCAAGTACAAGCTTTTGTCAGTGTCTAGTACTTTTGCAAGTAGAATGCAAAAAATACCATTTTACACTGGGACCTGTGAAATGAAATGAATCAGATTATTGGATAAAATCAGGTCTGATCAAATGTAAAGTTAAAGTGAATCACATCACACAGAGAGAAACAAACAAGACTAAAAGCTCATTAATTGGATTCTGCTGGGTGCAGTTACCAGGTGTGACCGGTGGGTGGCAGCAGTGAGCGGGTTGTCGTTGACTGAGTCAAAGCCACCGGCAGAGAAGAAGAGGTGAACTTATTAACTTTCGACAGGTTGCTCTGTTTGGCCGAAGATGCCGGTTAGTCAATAACAGCTGGGTGAGTTGTGCGAATTTACCAATTTGTACATGTTTAACCATAATTTAGTTACTTGATTATAAAGTTTAAATTTATCCCGCAGCCTTGAGAACTGAAACTTCAGCTTAAACTCATCAGGCTAGCAGCGACGTTAGCTGCGTGAATGCTAACTGAAAGTAAAAAGCTAGTTAGCTGTTAGCTCAGGATAATACCAGAGCCTTATCTCTACTTTTAACACCAGGTAACCGATAGGTTTATAACTAAATATTTACTTTAAACAATACGTATATTGCGTATTTAAAACAGGTTGTTGGTACAGGTAGGTGTTACTGGCTGGCAGGTGCTGTGTTAGCTGTTAGCTTTAAACTCAAACACCGTCAGGTTGTTGAGACTGCTCGGGTTAAAGTTTTGTTAAAAACAACATAGTTCTGTTTTAATGTTAGATTAACCACACGTAGCTGGTTTGAAAGCGATGAAGCTTCCGGTTAAAGCAGGTATCAGGTGTTACAGGTAGCTAACGTTCAGTGGTTCAAAACGTTGTAACCGTTGAAGCACGTTTCCGTTCGTATCAAAGGTCAGACTCACCGGCGGACCTGAGACCGAGCTGGTCGTTAACACAGGCCACTCTCTCACACTCCGCTGTCACAGCTGTCCTCTCTGTGTTTGTTTGGGAGACATTGTGGCGGGTTCCTGAAGATGTCAGGCTTTTATTTTGTTGTCAGGTTTTCACTTCTGTTTAAAGTTAAGTTTGTTTTCTGTTTCATACATGTAAATTATATTTGAGGTCAGGGGTCAGCAGTTGGGTTTAACCATTAGCCAGTCTAATAGTTTTACAAGCAGCATAGATACAGACATCTACTGTATATTGTAGCTATTTTTTGTGTATTTTATTCAATTCATGTTAAGCAAAATCTGACAGCAGCCTGCTTCAGTGTTATTGTTAATGTTGCTGTTGTTGCTGCAGTTTCTGTATCATTGTTCCCTGTTTGTGGCTGAGATGTGTCTATTATCTGTTAAAATGTTATGTTTTTATTGGGACTTCATTGGGTGCTGTATATACAATATAACTTTTTGTTGGAGGCCGGATTTGTCCCACAGACCTGTTATTTGGTTATATCACTGTCTTACCTTAATGTGCCACTGTTTTATCTGAGCGGGGGCGACTGATGAACACAGTGTAATATCACACTGACACATCAGCATGAACAGAAAAACTTTCTGCCAAAAAAAGCGTCAAGGGGTTTTGTTCCAATCATTTTCCCCACACTGAATGTTATTTCTGTCACTAGTGTTGCTCAGATCAGTCATTCAGGGAGTTCACCTAACGTCACACGGCTGCTAATGGTTATGTTATTATCATTATTACGATCAAGAGTGCTTTCTCTGGCCAAGTGAGGCAGATTCATTGGCATATCACATTGTCATACACAGAAGTCATTCAATGTGCTTAACAGAAATAAAAGAAGCATAAGAAATAGAAGTAAAAAGCACAATAAGAAAATAGTATAAAAACACAAATCACGATTAAAGATTAGATGAAGGCAGAGGAGAATATATGAGCATATAGACAACAACTAAAAGGGATACAAATAAACAATAAACAAGGTCCAATATTTTTTGTGGCTGAAAAATTTATTTCCAAATTATTCTTTTTTTTGAATCGGTGTTGACAGACAACAGTTTCGATCCAGTAATTTATTGAGCAAAATTACTACCTGCTTCCCAAATGTGAGGATTTGCTTATTTTCCCTTTTTAATTTCATTTTAAATATAATATTTTGAGGTTGTGGCCTGTTGATTGTTCAAAAGAAGCAGTTTGAAGATGACACCTTTGGCTCTCAGACATTTTCACTGTTTTCAGTTATTTTATAGACCAAACAATGACTTGAGTGTTTTATTTTTTCTGCACTGAATCAGCAGAGTTTTAGCTTCCTTCCTTGTTTGTGTGCGGCAGCTAAATCCTGGTTTTCATCTGTGTCTCATCCTGTTCTTCAGGCTGTCTGGTGTCGTCCAGGCAGAGTCTGAATGACAGATGCCTTCATCATGATGCTGAGCTGCAGCACCCTGGTCGTCGTCCTCCTGCTGTCCCAGGCCAGAGGCTTCCTGAGCCCCTCAGAGGACGACGGCATCCCTGAAGAGTGGGTGCTCCTTCATGTGGTTCAGGGCCAGATCGGGGCCGGAAACTACAGCTACCTGCGCCTCAACCACGATGGCAGAATCATCCTCCACATGCAAAGCCTCAAGGGAGACGCAGACCTCTACGTGTCTGATAAAACCCTGAAGCCTAGCTTCGACACCTACAAGCTGCAGTCGGCCACCTGCGGCCACGATGTGGTGGTGGTGCCGGGGGACTTTGTGAGGCCGGTGGGCATCGGCATCTACGGCCACCCGTCTCACAAAGAGAGCGAGTTTGAAATGCGGGTGTTTTACGATCAGACGGTGCCACAGAACCCGTTCGATACGGGCTTGTACACCTCAGAAGATGGACGTAAGCAAACAGAAGCTCCTCAGGCAGCAGACGAGAAAGAGGAGTCGATCTTTTGGACAATTCTGATCGGGCTTTTGAAGATTATACTTGAGATTTTGTTTTGAAAATGGTTTCCTTCCTCGCTGCTCTGACAAAAGGAAGAGACTCTGTTCTTGGCTCTGTCAGCCTTGATACATTAAAGAAGATTATTTCCCTTCATTCTGTAAGGATGAGAAAATGTCGCTCCAAACTCCAGTGAGAATCCTGGCATTTTAACAGCTCTCTGCGTGTGATCAAACACAAATATCTGATAGAAATACTACAAATCAGTTTGAAAGGTTGAAGGTGGATCACTGTGTTGAACGCTGAACACACCAGTGACTCCCGACCAATCAGAAAATGTTTCACAAAGTGATACGTAAATCAACATTAGCCTTTCAGATTCAGCAGAGTGTTACTTTGCCATGGTGTCCTCATACAAAAAGAGAATGAAGGTTATTAAGGTGAAGCACAGGCACATGTTGAACTCATGGCCTGAAGAGTCTTGATGGATGTTTGTAAGTCTATCAAACACTCACATGCACATATGTAAAAACTGAGACTTTTTAGTTGCTGCTGTCATTCCTTGGCCATGAAGACATCCTCTCGTCATGTGATCCCAGTGTAAAAGATGAGAGACACAATTCACATTCATATGAAGCTGCAGCAGTCAGAGTTAAGGCCTCAGTGCTTTAAATGAAGTAGGCTGAAACACGTGTCGTACAGCCCTGTCTAGAAGTTTAAAGTGTAAATACCATGAACCCGTGTACACCTGACAGTTACATGAGATCTGTATCTGGATATTCAGTCTAGATGAGGAAACACATTTGTACGACGTCTAGAGGTCGATCAGTGTGAACAGAATCTAACACTTATTTATTCCAGGTGTAAAAAGTGGATCCAGATAACGTATCCAGGTGAGAGCACAGCTGTAAACGGGGCTCGTATTGTTTGAGAGTTTATAAATACATCGACTGATTTACGTGTTTTTGTAGCTCAGACGCTCTAAATCAGACAAATGAGAACAGCCCAATTTCACACCTCTGCACTCCTGGTCGATCACAGCGTAAACTCATTTTTCAGAAGGTTTCAAACCTTTTCAAACACATTGAAACGTGTTAAGATCTTTAGCTGAGTCACGTGGTTATTTCCTTAAGGTCTCATCTTCGTTGTGCAAAATTCTCTCGGATTTTCATGTTTCCTTGCTGAGCAGTGACGGAGAAATGTATTATATATTTTTATATATCCTTGTGGTCGCACGTAGGTTTGTTGTTGTTGCTGCGACAAAACACGACCACCAGGATGAAAACACCCACTTCATTCGACTACCTCAGACCTCACTGTTGCCCCTGATCTTTTACACTGTAGTCCCGTGCAGACTGAAGCACCTACAGGGCAGTTTGGACTGTGGGGGAACGACTGCAGCGACCTTTAACTCTCAGTGTACATAAGACCTGAGTGTGAGTGTTTGTATTACTTTAAAAAGAAATCCTAACTCATCCTTAAACTCAACCTAAATTAAATCAAAGTAAATTCAGCAAATCAAAGAGTTTACAGTCGTGGCTGCGTCTCACCTCGGCCTGTGAATGGATGAAACCGCTTGTCTTAACTCTGCATATGAACATCACACAGGACGTGTGTGTGTGTGTGTGTGTGTGTGGGTTTAAATATCAAAAACTTAGCAATACAGTCATCGTCAGCCATTTGGACATGTACATGAGGTTCCTACAGGACGGGTCGTGATTCTGAATTTAGACTCTGAGCGGGAAGAACCTCTGGTTTGTGAAGAGACTGTTAACTTTAAACATTTCATTTGGTTTGATCATTGACTTTGGTGGGGTTTTTTTTGCCTGTTGGACAAGCTCCTGATTCAAACATCTCCTCCAGCGTTGGAGTTCAGTTATTGTTACCACTGAGCAGAAATGTTCAACAGTGCCTTCAGATCAGGGCTCTGCAGGGAGAACGGGTTTCTAAATAAAACGGCTGTTTTGCAGACTGTTCAAACCTTCTGCCTCGTGAGTCTTTTTGTTTCAGGTTTGACAAAGAGGAACGTGGAGCTCCGTTAGCAGAGGGCAACATCACACAAACAAATGACGACCTTCCCCCAAGATTAATATCCTGTATGGGGTCAGTTGATGACATTGAACTTCCTGGTTTTGGGAAATCATTTTTTATCTAAACTCACAAGAATTTCATAATTTATTCTTTGACAAATCTAACGAAACTAAATATCACTCAGGCTAGAAATGTAGATGTCTTTTTTTTTTTATAAAAGGGCAGCAGTTGAATTTATCAGTCAGTCAAAATTAATCAGCAACTATTCTGATAATCGGTTGATTGTTTCACTCTTTTTTCTTTTTTTAAAGCAACATTTCACAGGTTTCAGCGTCCCAGATGTTCATTTCCTCTGGTTTCCTTAATCTTCTTTGACAGTAAACCGAAATATCTTTGGGTTTTGGATTGTTGATCAGAGAAAACAAGATATTTGAAGATGTCACTGGGAATTTGTGACATTTTAAAAACACAAATTAACTGATTAACAGAGAAAATAATCATTAGCTGCAGCCCTACCTCGTTTCATTTGCTTCCAAAATGTTGAATTTACTGTCAGAAAACTGGGAAACTAGTAGAGACTCATATTTCAGTGAATTATTGCTGTTCTTTTCTGAATGAAACTGCCATAGCAACAGGTTTGTAAAGTCAGACTTTTAAAAAACACCCAGGGATTTAAACAGAAATATTTAATATATTTCAGTCACATCTCTGCAGTGTATCGTTATTTACAGGAGTAAACTCAACATTTTCTGTCCTGGTTTGTGGCTGATTTTTCCTGATCAGACTCGTGGACCCTGACATGTTTGTTTACATATTTATCATCACTCAGAACAAATAAACCCGCAGTCTGTGTGTGAAATAATCCAGCCTTCATCATCATCATCTTCATCATCATGTCAGCCTGGGGGCCAGCTGGATGCTGTTGATCCTCAGCACCGTCTGCGGCTGGATGATGATCTTCTTGCGCTGGAACCGGTGTCTCCTCCAGAACCGCATGTGGATTTTGGGCCAGGACTCAGTCTTTTCGAGCACGGTGGCCTCGACCCGGACCAGCTCCTTCCCCAGCAGAGGCCTGCCGATCAGGGTGAAGTCCTCCGCCCCGACCAGCAGCACCTTCTCCATCCGGATCCGCTCCCCGCACTCCGCCTCGACGTGGTTCTCGATCAGGATCAGGTCCTCGTCCGTGACCTTCCACTGACGCCCGGCGAAGTGCACGACGGCGAAGAGCCGGCCGAAGTCCTGCCCGTGGATCCGCTGGTTCACGGTGCTCACTACCGCGGCGTGTCGACCCCGCTCCTCATTCTCCGGGACCAGGCACGTCTGCTGCGCCCACGGCGGCCGGGACAGCGAGGTCCGGGGCACCAGTTCCCCGCTCGCGGAGCTCTGTAGTCGGGCAGCAGCGGGGAACAGGAGCGAGGGTCTGGGTGTCAACACGCTGCATGTCCTCCACAGTCCTACACAGCCTCTGCTCACCGCCATCTTTACAGGAAATGCTTTGGTTCCCACGGCGCATGCGTGACCTTTGTAAAGACACACACACACACACACACACACACACACACACACACACACACACACACACGCACACGCACACACGTTTCAGTCACCTGACTTTTTCTGCTTCTGCATAATGTTATTATTGTATTATATGATATTTCTGTATTTTACATTATTGAATTCTTTTAATTGAATTTCTCCTAGGGTATGAATAAAGTGTATGTCTATCTATCTATCTAATCAATAACATAAATTTAAATTTGGCTGACTCAGATACAATGAAAACGGGGAGGAATAAAAGAAAAAATACAACACATGCAAAAACTACACAAAGACACATAGTTGTGCAAATTCCACATTCTGTAGATGTTTGAAGTGTTTATGCACTTTTTTATTTCATTGGCACCAACTAGTATTTAGTAACTGTCTTTATGGAAATTTTGTAACTAGTTGTTTTGTGTCTCTGGTGTCTCTTTGTGTTTTATAGTGTCTTATAGAAACTTCTTTGTGGTAGGTTTGCATCTAGTTGTGGTAATTTGCGTGTTAGTGGTCGTTTTGAATCTGTGTAGTCGTTTTAACCGTGTCTTCGTGAACTGTGTGTTTCTATGTGGTAATTTTATATCTTTTTATAGTTGTTTTTGCATCAGTTTGTGTTTTTAACGTCTCATATGACCAGTTTGTGGTTGTTTTGTGTCTCTTTCTGCTAGTTATGCGTTTCTTTAAGTAACGTTTTGCAATTGAACCCTGGAAGGGGGGCGTCCAGACATCCATCTCTGTCAGGTTCAACTCCTGTGTTAAGCTACTTCCCCCCACTTCACTCGATGCCTGACGCTCGTCATTACATTACAACCGACCTTACAGGTTAGGCGTGGAATTTCCTGCAGCACCTGAACGCGGCGCTGACGTGCCTCCATTTTGTGTCGTTCGGCCCGTTTCCGTGTTTCCGAGCAGGGACCGATTAAACTGTGTCAGCGGGGAGTATGGCTCTGCTCGCAGGTCAGGAGTGCGGGTAAACTTTTCTATAGCTACCTGAAACAGTTAAAAGTGTCTCTTAAACGCTTTTAACAATTTGTTTTATGCGCTGTTTTATCTCAGAGACGTCTTGTAGCGAGAGCCGGACATCGCTGACACTGACAGCTGGGAAGTAAACAGCTAACAGCTAACAGCTAAGGGCTAACAGCGGCTAGCGCCAGTGTAACCGCCACTAGCTGAGCTGGTAAACCGTCGACTGCAGGCTAACGTTAGCCGGCTAACTTCTGAGTGTTTTTGGTGGCGTTAAGTTACATCACCGCGACCTGCCAGCACCCTCCCATCCTAATTTTTTGTCAAACTGCTCTGACCACGGATTGCCACAACGGCACTTTCCATTCATGTTGTTTTGGAGGACGAGACTACCAGACCTCCGCTTCTTCGAGCCAGGGTAAGTTAAATGTCAGGCTACCGAAGCTAACTTTACTCCACCTAAGTTTAAGCTAGTACCAGGTGTGTTTGTTGCAGTGGATATTTACCTGGGAGCGGCTGCAGCAGCTGCACAACCTGCCCAGGCCTGATTAATCCTGTTTTCCTGTGCTTAATGTCGGTCGGTTTGAGTGTTTTCTGCCCGATGAATTTACCCAACAACATGTATGATTTATGTTCTGGTGGGAGAAGTATGCAGATCCTTTGCTTCGGTAAAATGTCAAATATCTTACCATTACACACAAGTAAAAACACTGCTTCATAAACTTCCCTTCACTTTAAATTTGTAAGCAATATCAAGAAAATGTACTTTGTAGGCAGTATGCAAAACTCGCTTCGATGGCAGATAGATGTCTAAACTCTTTTATATATATATATATATATATATATATATAGTCTTTGTTTGATTTAGGTTTTCTTTAAAACAAAAAAAAAGACATTAGAAGGCATGAAAAAGTCTTTCATTGCCAGCAGTCTCATAGTTTCTATAGCCCGCGTAGACACTAACATTGGTTATAAAATGTTTTTGCAGGTGATCACAATTGTTCTAGACCTCTGAGCTTAAACTAACTAGTCACTTTGTAATTGATTCATCCATCCATTTTCTGTTGCTTATTTAGGGCCTGGTCATGTGGAGTGATCAGTTAACTATAGTATAAGAGCGTTGGCAGGAAATAATGACAAAAATGTGAAATAAATGTAAATAAATTGACGTTTATTTCTCATTGCACTCAGTAAGGCAGTCTGGGCTTTATCATCCCTAGTGGTTTACATGGATATCTTTCATGCTTGAGCAAAATGACTGTGCAACAGGTATTCAATTACATTTTATGTAGTATTAAATCTGGAGAAACCCAGGGTTCATTATGGATTAATCTGAATCTCTTTTCTTGATTGATTGCTTTGTCTACAAAATGCCAGAAAATAGTGAGAAACGCTGGTTGTTGTTTTCCACAGACCAAGGTGACTTCTTCAGATGCCTTGTTCTGTCTGACCAACAGTCCAGTATCCAAACATATTCCACCTATTATCATGTGAGACAAAAGAAAACATCAATTCCTCATATTTGAGAAGTTAGACACTGTAAATATTTGACATTTTGCTTTAGAAATGGGTGAAATGATTATTCGTTGTCATGTCTTTGGGTTTCTTTGTGACTAACAGTCCAATACTCAAAACTATTAAGCTGACTGTAATTTAAATAAGACAAGGAAAAACTGCAAAAAGTCACATTTGAGAAGCTGAAACCATGTAGAGCTACAACAATTAGTCAACTAATTACCAACCATTTCTGATGATTAATTAATATTTTCACTTATTTTTCAATTAAAGGGTGCCAGCTTTTCAAATCTTAGGTTTTCTTGTTCTTACATCATAGTAAGTTGGATAATTTTACATTTTGGACTGTAGATCAAACTAAACAAGACATTCTGATAACACCACCTGGGGCTGTGGGATGTCGTCATGGGCATTTATCCCTGTTATGTTTTATAGATCAAAGCATTGCGAGATTAATCAATAATGAAAATACTCATTAGTTGAAACCCTAAAACCATGAAATGTTTGAATGTTTTTTTGCATGAAAAGTGACTTAAATAATTTAATCAGACCAAAAAGTAGCGGACTAAAAATGTGTATACAGTTGGGTAGTTCAATTTTTCACAATAAGAGCGTAAGAGTACAAGTACAAAGTGTTCTAAAATGGGAATACTAATATCTTAGGCTGCCATTTTCCCAGAAAAAGCCTAGAAACACACACACAGCCACAGGCCTGCCGCTCAGTGTATTTCCTCAACCACAAAAGCATCCAGCTTCCTCATTCACCACCCCACCCCCACCCCCTTGCTGGCTGTATTCCTCTCTGTAGCCTCACACAGTTGATGTGGGGAAACTTTTTTCCATTATATGGCTGTTTACCAAATGTTTGGGTGAACAGCTAAATGCAGCCCAATCCTCAGCGATCATGACCCACTTAAGACCTCATTTTACTTTGATCTTGAATGGAAATGATTATTCAGATTATAGGGGTCAAAGGTCAGGACCTGTTGGTTTTTTTATCAGTGTGTGGCTGCCAGTTTTGTGTGTTCTTTTGTGCTGCAGAGGACAAGAAATATTCTTTTAATCTTCTTTTCTAAAAGCCGTCAGATCATCATATAAGGGGACGCTGATAAGAGATTTAGAATATTGTTCTAATTTTGTACTTATTCAGAATTTAAATATCCAATACCTCATGTGTCCTCTTATGTAGGGCAACAATTAATGATTATTTTCATTGTCGATTAATCCGACAATTATCTTTTTTATTAATTAAACTGAAACATGATTAAACAATGAATCACTTACCAAAATATGATTATTATTATTATTATTTTTATTAACAACAAACTATTTCTTAAGGTTATTCTCATCTTACTAAAGGACAGAAGACAGGCCTCACTCCAAGTATTCTGTATCAAGAGACTTTATTTTGCTGTTTTAGATCCCTTCAAGGCGCTCAGTAATTCTTACATCTGTTAATGTTTTGCAAAATACTTGTGTCAGCAGAAGACCAGTTTTTTTCCCCCAAAAATAGAAAGTAATGTCGACTAGCTATTATTCTTAACATCCATTCATCTATCTAGTCTGAGATGCTGCTGTGACAGTTAATCTACAAATTGTTAAAGCTCTGATTTAGAAGCAGAGTGATTTAAAAACCTTGATAAATACCTGAATGGCTAACAGTATATATATATATATATATATATATATATATATATAATGTAAAACATTTACATGAAGTGGGTGTGATCGATTGAGTTGATTAAAGGTTAACACATCTCGGTTCAAACAGAATGACGTCATTGTTTAAGGTTTGTTAATTGTGGTTTTATAATTAGTGTAATTAATATAAACTAGTGTCTGTGTCAAACACTTCTTTAATCCCCCACTCTCAGTCTCTGCCTCTGCTGCTGGGCCTCTCCATTCAAACCATGTCACTGACTAACCAGTGAGCTTGCTTGGTGAGATTCCTTTGGTTTCCCTCGGTGAAAACCTGCCCCGACACTCAGCCCAGCAGCCTGAGGAGCGGAGGGTGGGGAGGGTGGGGTGAGGAGCCGACGCAGCCTGCATGAGCCGACAATGGGCCCAGGCAGCTAACTGGTTTGGGGAGATCCAGGGACCTGAGTTAGTCATTGTGTGCAGAGCTGACACATTTAGAGCACTTTCAGGTACAGGTGTATCACAGGGAGGCGTATGGATGCGTTTTCTACTTTTTTCTACAAGAGCAGCAACTTTTACAGAAGTTTTACAACATACAGGAGCATTCTGGGTAAAAGTGATTAGTTCTGTTGTTAATAATTGGTGTTTTTACTTTAAAATAGAGCTGCAACCAGCAGCTAATTTCATTATCAATTAATCTGTCATTTATTTTTGAAAAAGGCATGCTGTACTCTCACGAAGCTCCTGGGGTCCACTCAAGTAAAAATTACATCATAATGCAAAACAATGTGAATTAAAATCAAAGACGAAAAACAACAAATACAAACACCAGTAAAACTACCAATAACGTTAATAACAGTGAAAAGCTCCACGCTTTATCTAAAGTAAAACGTTTGATGCAGCATCAAAAAACTATAAATGATGATGGTTCATGAAACCAGTTTGAGACGACTTTAGCTTTGAGACATGGAGCAGTGTCCTGCTGGAAGGAGATACGAGAAGATGGTGAACTGTGACCATGAAGGGAGGAACATGGTCATTGACTGGTATCAAAGGACTCCCCACACCATCACACCACCACCACCACCACCAGCAGCCTGGACTGTTGACACAAGGGCAGGTTGGGTCCATGGTTTCAGACTCTGACTCTACCAGCTGCTGCCTCAGCACAAATCCAGATCCATCACACCAGGCTCAGTTTTTCCGATCTTCATCTGTCTGGTGTTGGTGAGTGTGTGTCCACTGCAGCCTCAGGTTTCTGTTCTTGGCTGACGGAGCAGTGGCAGACCTGCAAGAAATGAAAGTACCTCATGGTAAAACAGAGAGAATATGAACTTTCCAGGGACTTGACAATCCCCATCAAGGCAGAGAAGTAAAAGGAGCATGTCACAGCCATTGAATCCCTTAGGCAGCACTAAATAACAGATGCTACACAGAGCAGTGCACCTTGCCTCCAGAAAATGTGCAAAGGCCACCATATGCATCCACATAATGCTCCTGCAGGCCGGCCTTCCTTCTGAGCCCGACCCTCAGAACTACTACCAACGGCAACAAACCCTCAGAACTACATCCACACTGACAGCTGGCTAAATCTGAAAATATGTCTCATTAGAGCTGCAACAAACAATTATTTTCATCATCATTTAGTTTGCTGATTACTTAAAATATCAGAAAATGGCAAAAATGCCCATTATATTACACAGAGTCTTTAAATGTGTTTTTTTTCTCTAAAACACAAAGATATTCAGTTTGCACTGATATAAAAGAGAAACTTTCGAATATTGTTTCAATATTTATTCAGAATTTAAATATCCAATACCTCGTCTGTCCTCTTATGTAGGGCTGCAACTAACGATTATTTTCATTATCGATTAATTGCCAGAAATCTTCAATAGGAGGAACAGGCAGAAGCCCATTTGTGGCATTTTTTGTGAAGATTAATCAATTATCAAAATAGTTACAGATCAGTGAATCAACTCATCCTTTCAGCTCTATTCCACATGAATGTTTTCAGGTCTTATTATTAAGATCTTGTGAAGATTTATTTATTTTTAAGGGTCCATGTCCAATATGAAACACAAACATTGGTCAAACAGACTGTTCACTGTAACCAAAAATAATATAATTGCTGTTTTACTTGATGCATTTCTGTTTCTGTAACTAAACAAGCATAAAATACTGATTGATCACGTCATAAAAGGTATCTGTTAATCAGGAATTTCTTTTTTTATGATCAGGAACTTTACAAATGAACCAAACACAGGTTGATGCTGCAACGTATAGATTAACAAAGAATTAAATGCAAAATAGTCTGATGATCAATAATAACTTCCTGTTTTTCTCTTGTTTAATCACAGTGAACAGATTTAACTTTGAGCTTTAGGCTGTTGATTGGACAAAACAAGACATTTGAAGAGATCACCTTGGACAGTCACTATTATTTGATGACACCAAAGTCAGTAGGATTTATCCTCGGAGGTCCATAAATATCTGTAGCAAATTTAACGGCAATCCATCCAGAAGTGGTCCAGATATTTCCCTCTGGATTTACAGACGAGATCCCATGAATTAAAGCAGAGATTTAAATCGCTCTAAGCCTCTTTCTGTCTGTGGGTCCTCGTCAAAAACGTCCATCTTCTCCACGCTACGCTGACGTATCGCAGGAGCTGCGTCAGCGACGGCTTCCTTCTACCAAGAATGTTTTCTTTAGAGTGAAGTGGGAGCAGCCATTTGTTTCCACTAGTGAAGGAGCAGGATGAGGCTTGTTGGCGTCCAGCTCCTCATCTTGTTTTCTCTTTAACACGGCACACGTGGAAGCAGGAAAATATTGTAACTGCAACTGATCATGGTGAGCTCATGTTTCTGCCAGCTCAGGTTTTGTCCTACAAATAAAAGGAGTGAGTTTCTTCTATTGAGCCGGTAAAAGCCTGACGACTGATGATTAAATATGAGTAATGGTCAAGTTAAAACTCTTCAATTAATTGAATATTGATTGAAAATGACAAAAAATATGAGATAGATGAGGAGTATATATAGGAGGGGGCCAGGAGCACTAACAAACCAAGTGACGCCTTGATAACGACCCCGCAGAGGTTAAATACCCGGGACTACATCACACGAAGACGATCTCTGTCCAGACTATCACACCTGAAAACTCGTTCACGCCTGAGCGGTCACGTACACTGAGCATGTGTGAGCCGGTGCAAACAGGAAGCAGATTATCAACTCTGCAATTGATTGGTTGCTGTTCCTCATTCGTAGTATTTTTTTTGTTTTGTAAAGACAGCTGCAGTGTTAAGATGCAGAATTTCAGGCGACAACACAACGCCAGAGTTTTCAAACTAAAAAGGGTCCAGCAGCGTTTCCAAAAGTCTCAGTTTTCGATGCTTGAAAACTCTGGAGGAGGAAACGTAGCGAAAGAGGTTCGATTTAAAATGAGGACGTAGTCGTGTGGACGTAGCCTTAGACCTGGAGAAGCCTCTTAGCTGAGAGGTGAAACGTCTTCAAGCACCTACGACCCGGTCCAGTAGTTTCCTTGCTCAGGATGGCAGATCTTGCTAGTAGAAATTAAGTGTTTATTTGTATTATTTGTATTTGTACTATGCAGATTTTTCCTCTCAAATGTAGATTAAGCAAACAGGAATACATCCTTTCAAATTAAGAAACTTGGTACGCAGGTATCAATTCCAAAAATGCTGATGTGCACACAGGTTTTGTGTCCAAGACAAGAGCAGTTTGTGATTGCTGTACATTCAACAATTCACTTAGAAACAGGATTTGTTTTACATACGAGGCTGCACCCGCACAGACGTCCCAGTTTTTTATTGATCATCTAACGGTTGTTGTTGTTGTTGTTGTGTTCGTTGTGTTGCAGCAGTCAGCGCGTGTCGTCCCAGCTGAGACGGTGAAGTCGCCCGCCTTTTACCCCACACAGAGAGGTGCCAACAGAGGGACAGGATGCCTATTCCTCCCCCTCCCCCTCCTCCCCCCGGACCCCCTCCCCCACCCACCTTCAATCAGGTCAGTGACTGGACACACAGCGATGTTAGACAGCTCGGTGTCGCAGCATTCACTTACAAAGCAGTTAAAGTTTCCACTACATGATGGGACATAAACCGCTTTTTATCCAGAGAAGTTTACTGTAAATGTTCACTGGCCTCTGCTTTAGCCACACCTCTGTGATATCTTACATTCAGTGGTTGAGTCAGTGTATTTCTAACTTCTAAGGCTTTAGTTTTTAGTGACTCACCTGTACAGAATTACAGGTGAGCAGCTTCCTGTTTTTTGCATCAGTAATATTTTGCTTGCTTTCTTTTTAAAAAGTTGGACATTATTTTGGAAATTTTCCCCGGTGAAAGGAAACACTGAGCATGAACACACTGTCCTGTATAAGCAGGATTTCAGCGAGACTACAAAGGGACAGTCGTGAACAGTCCAGCACAAAAACATGTTTGATTTATTCTTGGAAAACTGTAAAGTGTAAGAAAATGAGTCCAGCCTGAAGTCCGGGCAGACGGCCATGTTCTCATGTTTGTGTTCTCACCTGCCAGGAACTTTAGAGACAGTTGATTACAGTACAATCTGCAGTTTGAAGGAGTGAGAAGTAAAAGGCTGACAGGATCACGAGTCATCAAAAGCTGTGCAGTAAACCTGCTCCTGAATCATGTGACTAAGTGTGCAGTTTGAAACCAAACAGAGTCCGCAAACTCCCCACTGTAGTTCAGACCAGAGGAGATGAAGGTGTGATCACAGGATTTTCATTTGGTGACTTTGTTTTGTGTGTTTTTTTTTTTTGTTTTGTTTGTTCTCCCCGTCGCAGGCGAACACGACTCCTCCCAAACTGAGCTCATCCGAGGCCAAAGGCAGAGGAGCGCTGCTGTCAGACATCTGCAAAGGCACTAGGCTGAAGAAGGTCGCCGCGGTCAACGACCGGAGCGCTCCCGTCCTGGAGAGTGAGTCACAGCACGTTGGTTGTAGACGCACACAAACACACTCAGCACATTAACAGAGAGATCACAGACGTGTCAGTGGTGGCAGGTAGTTGATTTGTTTTGTGTTTGTGGAATAAAGGAAAAGTTACTAGTTACTGAATCTTGATTTAAGATTATTTTGTGTTTGTGTAAAATGTGTTTTTGGTTTCCCTTTTTTCTTTTTTGGGGGGATTTCAGAATCTTTATTAAAGTAGGTTTATTACTTTATTACTAGTATAGTGTTCTGTATTAGTTTCTAGTGTTTTATCCACCCCATCAATCAATCATCATCAGTATTGGAAGATTAAATAACAGAAACTCGTCTGTGTAATGCAACACAAACTAACACAGGTAGAACTAAATCTGAACGTTATAACCGCCTGTGTCTCTCTCTAGAGTTCACAGGACACTCGATTGTCGGATTTCTTTTCAGTATAAATTCATTTCTGATTTATTTTTGACAGAAAACGTCTCTAAAAAGTCACAGTCGCCTCGTGCAGCTGCTGAAATGTTTCCGTGTCTGTGTCGTTCAGATTCAGCGCAGACAGAGAAACTGTCGTGGAAACTGTCCGTTATACGTGATGTTGCTGGTGTGATGTCACTGTGACATCATCAGGCGGTGTGTCGGCTCTAACCCGTTAACGTGAGCGCTGAAATGAACCGATTGGCTGTAGCTCGTTGTTCTTCCTGCCAACTCAGTGTACGTCCCTAAATCCTCAAACACATGATCTTTAACTGAACTCGTATTTAAAACGCTTTGTAATCTTCAGTATAGGAATGTTTATATTTGCCTGTGTGGATTTAATGGCATTGATTTCAGTAGTTTAGTTTAACAATTTCAAAGAAAATGAATAACTATGGAGATATTCTTCACAATCAAAGGTGTGAAAATATTCTGGTTGTATTGTTTTTTAGTGAGAGTGTCCTGGTCTTTCACCCAGGCTTGGCTGTGTTGAGTGTGAGCCGTCTGCCTGGGTCGGTGTTGTACTTGAAAGAAAGAGGAAACAGGAATATTTGCGTAGAAAGGAGGAACTCAGTGGACACTCTTCTTTTCTATCAGCGGTTCAACACATTTCTGACGTGATAAAGATTCAGCTCAGGTCCAAGTGTTGTTTATCAAAGACGGTGAAAATATATTGTAGCTCTTTTCTTTCCTGCACACCTTCTCATGGTGTTAAATAACCTCTATTCTCCTGAAGTATTTGAATATTAAAATGTTTTCCTAGTCCCACTTTCATATTTGTTTGTATTGACATTTGCCTAATTTGTTTCACCAGAACAAGGAGGAAGTGGCGGCAGCGGTGGAGGCGGAGGCGGAGGCGGAGGCGGAGGCGGAGGTGGAGGTTTTGGAGGCGGAGGACCAATGGGAATGGGGGGCCTTTTCCAAGGCGGTGTGCCAAAATTACGCCCAGTCACAGGTAAAAATGTGATTTATTTGTAATTTCTTTTTTATTTATGAGTTTTGCTGCTGGATTTTCAGGTTTTCTGTGAAAACTGCAGCATTTTTGTCGAAGCGTCTTCATCGTCTGTGTAAATAAATAAACCAGAGAGGAAACCTGAAGTCAAAGTCCACCTGAGCCACATTACATCAGTCACTGATAATCTGTCAGCAACACACACAGTCTATCTGCACACACAGTAGATGGACTGAGTAGATACACGTCGTTTCCCCCGAGCTTCTATTTTTGTTTCTACTCCCAGTAATCTGTCAGTTTGTGGTGATAGAAATAAAATATTTGCAAATTCACACAAGGCAGAGTGCATGAATCAGCAGAGGGGATTTCAACATAGTTATTTTCAACTTAATGCACCTCCCCCTCCGCCCCTCCTCCACCCTCCTCCACTTATCTCTGATGGAGCAAACACATCTGTGGTCGGAGCGAAAGCCGTGAGGAACGAGTGACGTGAATCATGAATAAAAAGCAAGAACTCGGAGCTTAACTTCACAGATATCAAATATTAACAGGTGGGATTAGCATGATGCTAATGCAGAGCAGAGCGACCGTCACCTTTGACCCCCGTGCTCCAGCTGGTGAAGCTAAATGATGAGGATGTAGGTTATTGACTTTGCCATTTAGATTGAATTTGGAATATTATTATGGATAAAATGAATAAAACAACAACTCATATAATCGATCATCTGTTTTATAGTGATGCAGAGATTCATATGAGGAAGGACTTTGATTTGTCTGGTATTGAATTTGTTGGATTTGTCTGACCCCTCGTGTTTAAATAAGTAAAATTAAAAACACCCGTCAATATGAAGTAATCCAGTTCAGCACCAGCTTTAACTACGACCTCAGTTAACATAGAATTAAATTTACACATTTCTGACAATGTCTCAAAAAAACGAATTATTATTATTTTGATCATCAATTAATTATTTATTTTAATAATAAATCATGTTAATATTTCATTTATTTTTTAATTTTATTATTTTCTTCAGATTAATCAATAATGAAAACAGCCTTTAGTTGCAGCCTGTTGCAACAGTTTTTACCTTCAGAGGTCTGAGGTGTTGAAAGTGTTTTTCCACCTGTCTGTCCTCCACCCAGATGGTTCAGCAGGTGGTTCAGTGGGCAGATCTGCACTGAGGCCCCCGGGGTCCCGACCCACGGCCCCCCGCCCCCCGACAGGCCGCTCCAGCTCGCCCTCCCCAGCCAACAAGCCCTCTCCACCGGAGCACCAGCGCTCCCACCGCCCCTCGCTCCCCGACATCTCCCGGCCCTCCAGCGGCAGCAGCTCGTCCACAGGCGGCGGGATGAAGCACAGCACCTCCGCCCCGCCCCCTCCTCCGCCCTTCAGCAGGGGTGGCCGTGGCAACGCTCCGCCTACCCCCAACCAGAAAGCACACGCTCCACATTCCACATCCTCTCACAGCAGAGAAAAGCCCCTCCCACCGACGCCCAGCAGAGGCCCCACCCCTCCCAGCTCCGTGAAGCCTCCGTCTTCCAGCAGACCTCCGACAGGTGGCTCCTCTGCCCCTCCGCCTCCCCCGCCCTACAGACCGCACACGTCAGTCTCCAACGGGCCGTCCCACGTAGACGGGGGCGGTGCTCCGGAGCTGCCGCAGAGGCACAACTCCCTGCACAAAAAGCACACATCAGGAGGCAGCCAGGGACGCAGCCACGCTCCTCCGCCCCCGCCTTCACCGTCTCCATCCTCTCAGCAGGGCGCCAGACCACCGCCCCCCGCCAGAGAGCCGCCTGGACGCAGAGCAGGTACAGTACACCCCACAACATCATCACTAATTCTGTGTTTTAGAGGTCAGAGGTCAGGACTCATGCTACTTGTACAGGACCGTCAGTGACGCCTTCGTGGAAACTAAGATTTGAAATCAGGATTTAGTGTTAGGTAAAGTTAGTTAGTTGTTAGTATTAGTTAGTGTTAGTTTAGTTTTAAAGGCATAGTTAAAAGAAAGTTCCACTCTCAAACTGCTGATAACTGTTATTAGAACTGATATTAGACACTGGGATATTTCCAGTAAAGGTCTGTTCACTCCAACAGTCACAGCACAAGTTCAGGTTCAGTTTATTCCTTAAACAGAAGATAGTGAATAACTACCACAAGTTACTTTACCTGTGATTCCTGAAAAATGACTTAACCAGCCCAGATTACTGATCTGAGAGCAGATTTATGTCAAATATACTTTCCTTTCACTGTCGAGAGCCGCAACTTACACTCATTATTATTGTTAACAAAAGACAATCTGGCAATCAATTAAATCAGCTGTTCCATTATTTATTTGTTTGAGTTATAAAATGTCCGTAACTGAACAATCACTCAGTTACAGACTGTCAGTTAATTGTGTCTTGGTGGAGAATCTGTCGTCATAAAATGTCAAACAGCGTTTTAAAATAAAAAAGATCTCTGTCCAGACAAGAGTTTTAGCTCCGTATCAGAAATAATCTCATTCCACACTAACACGCCTGAAACGCAATTCACATGACCGTTCACGTGTACGTGAAAAGTAAAACTACAGGTTTTATTTGCTTTATAAAAATGCAGAGTTTAAAAGATGACAATCACTGGTAGTCGAGGCTGGTGCCGTTTGTTTTCATCCAGAACAGGGTCACATGACAGGAGGATACTGTTTGTCGTGACTGATAAAACCCCATCAAACTAAAATACAACCCTGGAGTTTTCAAAGTAAAAGCGTTTCCTAAAGTCTCTGCGGCTGGAAAATTTTAAAATGCATATTACAACTAAACTGTGTTAGCGTGGATGTAGCGTTAATGTTTGAACGGTCCCGGTGAAGGAGGCGACATCAGTCTCCATCCTCAGCTGGAGGAATGTTCACACTGAAGCCGCAGCAAGTTTTGACTCGTTATCTCTGAACCTGCAGCGCTGAGTTTAAACATTTCCTCCACATGATCGCACCTCCTCACGTCTGGAAGTAGAGCACAGGGCAGTGACATGGTGTCTGCGCAGACGCTGAACATACTGTCGTTTAATATTTCTTATGATATCTCCAGATGCTTTTTCAGTTTGTTTGTTTTTTTCCTCGTTGGAGCGACAGTCGGGGAAATTACAGTATTTCAACATGTGGAGCAGATGTGCTGAATGTTGGCGTGTGTGCTTGGGTAGATTTTTTTTATTACAGTAAAACAGTAAATATTAACAGTATAGACAGAAACAACAAGTCGACGGTCTGTGTATTAAGTTATGACTGAACAGGCTCAGGCCTATTTTCTTATCAGTTAAGCTCAGAAATATCTCTGTATCTTTAAAGAACCAAAAGGATATTACACTTTTTTCTTTTCATTTATATTTGTATTTTTCCATAAATTAAGAAACATTCACATTTGTAACCCTCAAAGACAAAAGTTTATTCTTCTGAAAAGCGAATTAAAATTTAAATTAGCATTGTTCCATAATTTGACCCCAACCATAGAAATACTCTCCTCGTCTCCTTTTAATCTCTTTTTTGGCTTTTTGTTCCGTAAACTTACAAACACCTTCATACTCATACTCGCTCTCCTGTATTGTACGTGCACTCCTGCAAAGTGTGTGTGTGTGTGTGTGTGTGTGTGTGTGTGTGTGTTTTGAAATAGAAAGAAATACTGTAGGATTTAAGACGCCCACTCCTACAAGTCGTCCTAGTTTTACAGAAATGATCCTCGACCTCTTTGATGAAACTTCCAGCTGATGATCTTGTTCCCTCCTCAGAGCAGATTTACGTCTCACTGGAAACATATTCATGATTTAAATTCAGAGTGAACACACCAAACAGGAAGGCACTTGTTAGCCGGAGCTCTGTGTTGTGATTGGACGACGGAGCGATTCGCCACGAGGCCTCCTGGTTTCTCTGCATTCCTGAAGCCCTGTGGAATATTCCAGCATTCCTCTTCACTTTCACTGTCTCTGCTTTTCCCCTCCCGCTTCCACATGAACTCGCCGGGCGACTGCTGTTTCCTCTGTTCTCTCTGCTTCTCGTTACTCTGCTTTATTAGAGTTCTGATATTTAGAAGCGTAGAAAGAGAAGAAAAACGATGTGTTACAGAGCCGTACAGCGGCTGCAGCGTCTGCTGGAAGTAACTGAACACAGTTTATAGCTGTTCGTGTCTCCAGATCGAACTGTAACCGACTGCTGCAGTTTAGGCATAAACTAGGGTTAGAACTAATGATTATTTTCATTATTCATTTATTTACTTATTAATAATTTTTTCTATAAAATAGTAAAGAAAAAATACTTGTTTTAAAGTCCCACAGAGCTTTCAAGAGATTCGGTTTATGGTCATATGACAAAGAAACTTATCAAAACCTCATGTTTGAGAGGCTGGAAAGCTTTGAAAATGCCTGAAATGATAATTCAATTATCAGATTTATCAGCTGATTGATTGATTGATTCTCTACAAAGAACAACAGAAAAGTGTTTGTCATTCTTACGTTGTCGGATATCACTGTTGTGCAGTATTTTAAAGAACCGTACCGCTGGTTCTGTGTGTGTTCAGTGCTGAAACGATTAGCCAGTTAATCCCCCAAGCAATAAACTGATCAACAAATGATAATCGATCGGTCATTTATTAAGCAAAAGATTCCAAACATCCTCTGGTTTCAGTTTCTCAAACGTGAGCATTTGCTGCTTTTCTCTGTTTTACATCGTGTTAAACTGAAAGTCCGACTCAACATGAAACTCAACTCAACTGTGTGTGTGTGTGTGTGTGTGTGTGTGTGTGTGTGTGTGTGTGTGTGTGTAGCTCCCCAGGTGCCCCATCCCGGGTCTCGTAACGGCGGTCGGGACGCCCCTCCTCCCCCGCCCCCGTACCGCGTCAACAGCTCAGAGTCCCACACCAGAGTGGGCAAACCGCCTCCTCCTCCCTCCTCTTCCTCCATCTCATCCTCCTCCTCCCGCACCCCGGCCGGACCCCCTCCACCTCCCCCGCCCATCAGGAACGGCCACTCCAACATGTCCTCCTCCAAGTCCATCATGGGTAAGTCAGAACGCTCGCTCCCTCGCCTTTATTTGATCCGTATTATTATATATTATATATATATTATTATTGCCTGTCACAGAGATGAACACCTGAGATGAGCTACTGTGACTCCTGACGTGCTCCTTCCTCTCTATGATCAGTCATTGTGATGATGAACTCGTTCTGACCCGTCCTGGTCCTCCCCCCTCCTCTCCTCTCGTCCTCAGCTGTGCGTCTGACGCTCAGTCACACGAGTTGTTAACATGGTTTTGTTTATGATCTTGATGCGATGGCGGCGCCAGTGATGAAATGGCCGTCGATAGTCAAATATCCCACTGCTGCCATGCAAACAAGCCTTTTTTCTTTCTTTCCTGTCGCACTGGAACAAACCGGGAGGCGGGCCGGTTCCTAGATTACTGTCGAATTCTCACTGTTCAGAAAACTGAGAAAACGCAGAAAGTCAAAGTAACAGGACAGTGATGTGTGACGTTTCTATTTTCCAACACGAAGAATTTAAAGAGGAAAAATGACTGTGAAGTTAAACGGATGTGTTTTTAGCTTCTAGCGTTTTTCATTTATTGATTTATTTCACTCAAATCAGAAATAAAAACAGAATACAAGAATACACTCTCTACAGCTCGTCACTATGGGCCCAGACATGGCGTGTACATAACACAAGTTCAGCCACAAAATACTTAAATCCTAAAACCTTAAAGAGTAAAAACTAAATGGTCCAAAACTTCTGTCCCATCGGTCCATATATCAATTTAATATGCAATAAATATTACATAATAATAGTAGCTCCGTAGAGACCCCAGCCTTTCACGGTTTAGACAAGTTCAAACATGTTTAGTTCTTTGAAAAACAGACAGACATAGTGACGTTTTCACCGTGTTATCAGGCTCATTCACACCTGTGGACCTCTGCACACCTGTGACTTTAAATCCACGTTTGTGTCCCTGTTAAAGAAGCTTTTTTCTGGCCTTGTATGAACGCGAGGGAAGGTCAACTGGAGGATTGTGTATAGATTTACCATTTCGTTTTTAACTGTTTGTATCTGATTTTGTTTGTGTTTTTATTTCCATTTTAAAAGTTCCCAAATTACAAATTTAAGTTTAACACATTTACAACTCAAGTGTAAAATAATTTGGCTGCATTGTTGTTGTTTTTAAACCAAACAAAAAAGTCTAGTTAATTGTTTTATTGATGACATTTTATTTTTATTGTTTTAGAGGGAAGGGCAACGAGTAGATTTATATTTGATTTTAAATGAAATTCAAATTCACCAGAGTCAAAACACACTGCACAAAGCAAAACGGTATTTATACTATTGTGTCATTAGATCAGAGGCATTTACAAAAAGATCTTTCAATGTAAAACAGTCCGGTGCAACAGCAGCCTCGCAGGTCGAACATAATGAGCTTCAATGACTAAACTGTTCAAGTGTTCCTAATAAACTGCCGACTTGATTTAAAGGTATATGCACATTTTTAAAAGCAGTTTTGTGTGTGTGTGTGTGTGTGTGTGTGTGTGTGTGTGTGTGTGTGTGTGTCGTGTGTGGTGTGTTCTTATCTTTCCTCAGATGATTTTGAATCCAAGTTCAACTTCCACCCCATGGAAGACTTTCCGCCTCCAGAGGAGTACAGGCATTTCAGCAAGGTGTACCCCAGCAAAAACAGCAAGGGTACGTACGGGCGTGTGCAGAGAACGCTGTTCACACCTCAGTACGTTTATCTTCTCCTTCTCTTTACTTCTTCTTCTTCCTTCACTTCTGCACGCTGAGAGCAGAGTGTTGTTGTCAGACTAGTTCAGTTTATTTGCTCAGTGGAAAGAGAGTGGTGAAAGTTCAGGACTGAAGAGGAGAAAAGGATCATTTATCTCTGAGGTTTGATTTCATCTGTTACCCATCATGCAACTGTCTCATTGTCCCGAGACTTTGTTTTTGGTGTGATTATACTTCACTTAGGTAACTGATGTGATAAATGAGTTTATCGGTGGACCTAAACGGAGCTGATAACGTCACTTCACACTGTTTGTTATATTATTATAAAGCTGCTCAGATACATTCCCACTGCAGGTGCAGACAGGAAGTCAACGCTCTGAGGTCGACGGATGTTTCTATTATATCTACTATTTTACTCACATGTTTTTGATTAAGACAGAGCAGAGGAGAGTAATCACTTGTTGCTCCCTGTAAGATTTGTGAAGACTGAGTCACCAGCTGCACTGCACTGGATTTATTCTCACTGCTACAAGTTGCCTTTGAATTATTATTATTATTATTATTATGATTTCTTTTTTTTTTTTTATGAAGATAGCGACAATTTTTGCAATTCTTATTTTCTTCTGCAGTTTCATTGCAAAAAAAAAACCCACCTAAAAACATTGCAACATGCATCACAACTTTTAAGAAAAGCTGCCGCAACATAGAAATATAAAGAAGTTGAGAAAATATCCTCAGACCTCAGAGGGTGAAAAGACAAAATAATGCAGCTGCAGCTGTAAGATCTGTTTTCTTTACTCTCACATGTTCACACTGCTGTCACAACATGTTTACTTATTTCCAGAGTTAATCCTTCCCACCAGTTTGTAGGTGTGAGCTCTGACCTTTAGTGACCTCTGTTTTGTTTGTGCCCTCAGCCACGATGAGAGGCGCTCCTCCAGCGCCGCCGGTGGGCAGGTGAACCGGCCTCAGCTCAGGACTTGGACTCTCAGTCGGTGGACGGTCATCGGGAGGGAGCGGTGAAGAAGCACTCGAATCACAAACACACTACACCACAAAACACACACACACACACACACACACACACACACAGATTCACACTAACACTAAACCACCAGCTGGAAGCACAGTGGCCAAAAAAAAAGTAAACACTACCACACCACGCAGGTTTGACACTACTCATCGGTCACTTTCTGTTTTTTGCACGAGAGAATAAAAACCACTCGGAGGCGAGAAACGGACTCGACCTTCGTGACTGTGACCACGTCGACTTCTCCTCTGCTGACTGGACTTAGAGGCGTCTGTCTGACACGACATATCAGGACCAAACTCCGAACACTTCCAAACCTGTGCATTCCACCTTCTTTTTTCTTTTTTTTTTATGCATATTCATGATGATAATGGTGATTTTCATAATTCTGAACAACATCTTTTATTTTATTTTATTATTTTTTGGTGTCAGCATTCATTTGTGGGGGGGGGGGGAATTCAACACTACAAATTGAAACTGTCTTTGAATTTATGTTTGAGTTTTCAGCAGATGGATTCCTCTCCAAAAGTTTTTTCCCACAGAGCTGATAACGCCATGAAAACGAGGCTTAGTGATGGTTTTCTGTTTAGTTTTTTTGGTTAGTTTATGTCGTTAATAGCCATTCCAGCAGTGCCAGGGGAGGGTGCGTTTGAATCATCTCTCTCTCTCAGTGTGCCAAAAGCGGGTGGAGTCAAATGAACTGCAGAGAGAAGACAGTTTCCACACTTGTTGTATATGTAACTATAAATCTCTCTCTTTGATCATGGATAAAATGCATTAAGGAAAGCTCGCCAAAATTATGACAGCAGCCTCGCCTGGTTGTTTATCTTTACATTCGGATACAGACTTTCCTGCTTTTTCCTTTTCTTTTCCTTTTTTTACCCTCTTCTTGTCTTTATCTGGGGGTGTTTTCATCTCCATCGTCAGGCGATGTTGCACGGCAGGTGAACTGCTTAACCGAGACACTGTGCATGACGCTTACGACATCAGGATTGCATTCACATCGATGTAACACAAAGCAAAAAGAAAAGAAAAGCACTTGAGGGTTGATTCCTAGTTTGTCCCTGATGTGTCTGAATAACTGTAGATCACACAAGCAGCATCTTTCTCCAGACACTCGGTTATCGTTCGTTTACTGGACCACGTTTTGGTGATTTTTAGCTGCAGATTCGCAGAGTTTTGGAGGAAGTTTATAAGGGATCATTTATCTTTTCTTTTTCCAGAAGTCTTCTTCCAGGGAAGTCGGTCTAAAAGCTCAACTCTCTTCTGGATCCATAATTTTACTTTTGCTGCTGCTGGTCCTTTTAAAGGAGGACTGTACGGCCAGAGGAAGACGATATGTTGTTGTTGTTGTTGTTGTTGTTAAATTGCTATGCAGTTTGTTCAGATTGTAGCTGGTAGCAGCTAACCAAAACAAAAAAACAAAAAAAAAAAGGAAAACACTTAAGTGCCAGAGAACTGTTTGAACAGATGGAGGTTCTTTACTACACTTTTCTTTAAGCTCGACTTTAAAACACTAATATTCAAACTAAGATACCATGCAGGAAAAATGAACAAAAAAAAAGAAAAAGCTTGTTCAGGTCAGACTCTCCATTCTCAGTGATGCAGCGCCTCCTGCTGGTCTTTGCCTTACACACATCTGTTGTCACCCTCATCGGTACCAGTGCTTTTATTTTCCGTTTTGTTTTGTTTTTTAGGGGGAAGATGATGACAACAAAGTAAATAAGAAACAAGTCTATTTGGAAATGCAATAAATATTGTATATTTACATTAAGGAATATGGTAATCATAGTTATTGATCTATTTTTATGTTGTAAAAAGCTTGTAATATAGGAAAGAGAAATGATTAAGAGTTATAACAATGTTCCAGTGGGTGAGCTTTGGTCTGACAGAGCGGACTCTCTGCAGCTCTTCTCTGGATGTTCGGCCATAAGGGTGAATGAGCTGAATGGACGAGTGTGAGGTTTTGCCAACAAGTTTTTTTGGGGATCCCGTTTCTTAAAAAAAAACAAACAAACTAGGTAAATTAGTGAACGTGGTGGATGACGGAAAACAAACCTACAACAACACTTCCTGTCCTGGATGTACACTCACCTTGACGCACAGGTGACCCGTCACATTTGCGTCCTCACGTTCTCACCTTGTCCAAGCTGAAGAGCAAGAACCCTGTGGTCATTTCATGTTAATCAACCATGTTTTTATCATTTGAAATAATTTCAAATAAATGTATTCCTGTTGGGAAAAAGGGTACCTGATGCACTGGGTGTGTTTTATTTCTGTTTTAATAAGTGATTATTAAAAAAGCACTCACATACTTTATCCAAATAAAAGTGGAAATATCACAATATAGAAATACTATGCGTTGCAAATTTTACCAGACATGTGAACGTCTCTCTCTAAATAATGCTCTTTTGTAGATTGGTGCATTAACACACGAGCAGCGTGTTGGTGTCACGTGTTCACGGTTGTAACTTCAGTGTCTTTGGGTTTTTGACTCTTGTGCAACAAGAAACGACTGAAAATGTTTCATGAGGAAGGAAGAAATCCATTCACCTTTTCATAATAAAGGTATTAAAACTAAATTTGACACAGGGGTCCTTTACAAGACGAGATTATCAGCTTCCTGTAGCTGGAGTACCACAATAAAACTACTTTCTGATTTCCTGCAGTTAGAGTATCAAGGATGAAGTACTTTTACTGTGATACTTTTACTACTGGAAGTCAGGATCTGCTTTTAGTCTGATACTGTGACTACTGGTAGTACTTTTACTGTGATACTGCTATTACAGGAAGTCAGAAAGTACTTTTACTGTGATACTGCAATTACAGGAAGTCAGAAAGTACTTTTACTGTGATACTGCAATTACAGGAAGTCAGAAAGTACTTTTACTGTGATACTGCAATTACAGGAAGTCAGAAAGTACTTTTACTGTGATACTGCAAGCTATTTTACTGTCAACACAAAACATTTGGCAGGAAGTCTTTTGCCGCCAAATTCACTCCCGTGACCATCCTCAGCAAATGACAACGAAGGGGAGGAGCATGACAGCATCCGGTTACCACGCTACTTGGTTCCCGCGTCCAGAAGATCTGACTCTCATACATAGTGGGTAACAACTGACAACCTGCTGCTCGTGGACTATTTCTAACCAGGTAAAAATCTAATTTACATGTTCATTTTATTCCATTTTAACCAATGCACAACCAGGTTTGACTGAACTTTGTAGGTAAATATTGCAGAAGAAGATGGTTCACTTACTCCACGTGTTCAGAATTTATTCAATTAAATATGCATCGAAAAATTTATCAGGTTGCTGCAAATGAAGGGCTCGTGCTTGAGGAACTATATGTCCATCATGTGCAGTAAATATAATTATGTGCAGTGGTGATACAATAGTCTAATCCTAGCAGTATTTTTTCAACTCAGGTTTATTGAGGCTTACTTTATCATTTCGTTGCATTGTAAACTATTTGCAGAGGAGTTAAAGTTACTTTAATGAGGCACAGGAAGTTAAAGTTATCTACATTAAGGCTGATGATTCTGATGTTTATACTGTTTTTTTTTTTGTTTTTTTTTTTTTTTTTTTCAAAATTTGAACGTGTTAATTTTCAGTTTTATAGTTTGATAGGAGAGACAAACTTTTTAAAACTTGTTATGATCGAGATTTGTTGAGATTTTATTGAATGAAAATCGACTACCGGTAGTTGCGTCACGTTCCCGTTTAGGAGCTTAAAATCCCGGCGCGGGAAACTGAGCACAGCGAACACGCTGGCCATTAAGGCGGAAGTAGGTTGAGAAAAGAACAAGATGTCTTTAATATTCTTTTCTCTCCGCATTGGTTTAATAATGGACGTGATACTGTCAATGTTGGTGTTGACGTCTTCACACGTTATCGCGGGTAAGTGATGTTTTATCGACTGTGTCGCTTTATTTGCGCGTTGAAACGAGGAAGGAAAAACATTACAACACTCAGATGTTTTTGTGGTGTTTAACTCATCTAAAAAAATATTAAAAAAAAAAACTGTCCATATGTGACAAAGAAAAGCAGGTTAGAGGCTTTAAATAGAGAATATTTAGCATTTTTCACTATCAATAGTTTCAGCTTTAGTAACTGGTTCGTCGTCTCCCGCTACACGGATCCGGGTCGCGGGGCTGCAGCCTCAGCAAAGAGGTCCAGACGGCCCCCTCCCCGTGGAGTCACTGTACAATGTAATAAAGACAGTAGAGCACCGCTGTTAAGTTACCCGAGGTAATAATCAATAAACTGTCGACCGGGTAAGATTAATAATGTAAAACAATTCCAAACAGCACTTCACGCTGCCCGTGGCACCGCCATGTTTAAAATGTCTCAACTTCATTGAGACAGACAGAACTAACAAGAAGATAGTGGCAATGGATAAATCTCCAGGGCCAGTGAATCTGCATTTATGGCATAGGGAGATTGTTAATAGTCTCTTCGAAAGTAAGGGATAGAAAATCCGAAACACTGCTCAGCAGTATAAAGTCTGTCGCGGTCGCCATCTTGCCTGACCCCCGTTCTTTTAGTTTTATGCCGGAGACACCAGCTCAGTGTTGTGAAGGACACCTAGCGTTCATGCGTTTGTTTGTCTCTCCAGCACAGCATCATGTCAAGTGTCCGACTGAGACGATCCAGGCAGAAGAAGGTGATGATGTTACACTTAGGTTTGATCTGGATCCCCGGGTCAACCTGGAGGATTATACACTGGACGTTAGGAGAACTGACCTCGACGAGGTCGTCCACGTCTATCGACATGGAAAGGACCACACTGATCCACAGACGGAGCGATACAGAGACAGAACAACTCTCATCCATGAAGACCTGAGCAGAGGAATCGTGACACTGCAGATCTCCTCAGTTCAGCTGAAGGACAGTGGACCGTACCAGTGTTTTGTCCCAGGGCTGAGAGCTGGTTGTACCACTGTCCTTAATGTTGGTAAGCATGAAAACAACAACATAAAAAATAAAACACAGGATTTTAAAAAAGTGTTTAAACAGTTTATTTCTCATTTGAAACAGTGAAAAAAGTCCAACACAACAAGACGAGGACAGATGATGTCATGACCACCACCTCGCCACCAAACCCTGGTAAATGTCTTTGATTCATTCTCTAGGAAACTGTTGTAGAGAAACTGTTCTTCGTCTCATCTGGACACTTTCTGATTTTCCTTCAGATGCTCAGACGGTGAATGTTGGTGCCGTTGTTGGTGGATTTCTCGGTGCTGTTGGCGTTCTTGGTTTTCTCTGCGCTCCTATCGGAGTTCTGGTGAAACGTGGAACAATCAGTGAGTTACAGTTACAAATTTCTCTTAGTGCAGTGTTGTATTTAAGTCCAATTAGTAGGTAAATGTACTGGAGGTTTCCAGTTTTATACAGTGGCATGAAAAAGTTTAGGCACCCCTGACAGTTTCCATTATTTTCATTTATAAATCATTGGGTGTTTGGATCAGCAATTTCATTTTGATCAGTCAAATAACTTATGGACAGCAATATTTCAGTCGTGAAATGAGGTTTATTGGATTAACAGAAAATGTGCAATATGTAGGTGCATACATTTGGCACCCCAACAGAAAAATCCCATCAATATTCAGTCGAGCCTCCTATTGCAGAAATAACCTGTAGTCGTTTCCTGCAGCCTCCAATGAGCCGCTCTCAGCGGCGTGCACTCGGGGCGCAGGGGAAGGTCGGGCCGCCTCTGTGGCTGAGAGGCTTTTGTCAGTTTAGTGGATGACATCACACCTCCTCCAGACTAACATAAGATAGTGTATAGTTCATAACCTGCAGACATGTGTGGCCACCATGGGGCTCTGTTTGCAACAGTTTACAGGATAGAGTGCGTTAGTGGAATATAGTGATAACACCTGATCTATACCCACCAACCAGTACCTCCTATAACCTGTGTGTGTTCACCTGGAGGTTAGGAATCCTCAAGCCAGCATCCCAGAGATGATGATGATGATGATGACGACTTTCTCACACTAGCAGTGCTGCATTTTCCCCCTTTTCCTCTCAGTTTTCACATTTTAAAGCAGCTCCACCTTCCCCGGCTGCAGCAGGAAAATGCTGCTTATTCACTGATGCATCAGTATTAAGAGTCTAAAGATATAAAGCTGCAGATGTTGAGCAGCTGCAGATGTTGAGAAGCTACAGCAGGTTTTCATGTGAGATCAGCGAGGCTGCTGGCTGGTCAGTTTATCAGCTGTTACTGGTGGAAAAGGCTCCTGATGGTGTTTTACTTCCATGTTGGATTTATCTGATGAGCTCGCTCAGAACAGCAGAGATCGACTGATACGGTTTTTCGGAGCCGGTTCAGATTCCGATTATCGGTAATCAAAGACACCGATAACCAATATTTGGAACCGTTACACCAACACAACACTACTGCTGTATGAAGACGCTCACCGTGACGTCCACGTGTTTCTATTGTTTTATCCATTTAGATCAGTGAATGTAGGTAAATAACAGAAACAGCTGTATAATGTAACACACACACACACACACACAATTCATCATCATCTGTCTGAAAATGTTTAAACACAAGCTGCAGATTAAAACCTTCATGACGAAGGATTTACTGCAGGACTGTTGCATCAGACTCCATCAGTTCAATGTTCCTAATAAACTGATCACTGAGTGAATATTATTATCAGCTGCAAACAGCCTGAGCTCATTGATCTCAGTGCTGTTCTCACCTGTGAACTGATTCACCTGCAGATGATCTTTAATCTAACAGGTTGTTGTTATTATTATTATTATTATTATTATTATTATCACCAATAAGGTGTTCCCCCTTTTAAACTGTAACGCAGAAACACGTTTACTCACAGATTTTATTTCATCAGTTATGATAGAAAACATAATACTGCTGAATATTATTGACAGTCGTTGGGTCACAGTCAACAGTGTGAGCGAGGGACGTGTCACCGTCCTTCGCCACCTGGTTTCTCCACAAACCTCAGTTCAGTGAGTCTCAAACCGGTTTCTGATGTTCTCACAGAGGTTTGCAAGAGGACGCGCGGGGTAGCGGCGGCGCCTGAAGCAGTCGTGATGCTGAGGCTCAAAGTGGCAGGCGGGGGTGACGACCTGCACGGCGCTGAGAAGCGAACCAGCTGAAGTGTCACCTGGACCCAGACAGAGAATCCATCCAAGCTCCTGGTTAACAACAGGAATTCTTGAGTATTCGCTTCCAGATCAGCTGATCGGTTCAATCCGCTCTGACGTGATCAACCAGTTTTAATCCAGAACGATGAATGTGAGCAGAAGTGAAATTCAACTAAATATAAATGTAATTATTCATATTGTAAATATATTTATTCAGCTGTAACCTGATGAGGGACAAAGTTCTGCTGCTCTCAGGATGAAAACAGCCTCATGAATTTGGTGATTTGCGGTTGAAAGAGCGTCTAGCTCAAAAACTTTTGATTATCTATTTTACATTATCATTTAATGACTGTATTTCAACACGTAGTAAATCTCACTTTTAAATGTTTTTAAAAGTATTTCAGATTCACTGCCATCATCCTCTGAAATATCACATCATCCTCAATATGATCAATAACAGATCATGAGACATGATTCCTCACTGATCACAGCCTCGTGTCTAAAGCTTCACACAGTATTTATTGACAGTGCTGAATGTTCAGAAAATGTTTCAGTGCTTTAATCTCCCAGAGTGACTTCCTGCAAAATAATGTTCTCCGATCAGTTTTCTGAAACAAACTTCCCGATGACTGATCAGCTGTGTGCATTAGAAATTAAACTAAGCTGTGTTTTCTGTTATGTGTGTGTGTGTGTGTATGCACTGTATAAAGCTCTTTTAACCTGTAAAGAAATAATTAATAAGATGTGTTTGTATTATCTCTATCACAGACATCATTAAAATATTTATCCAATCAGGATGGTTTTGGTTTAATTTGTCCAGATCTTCAGATTTTTTTTGTCTCCAACCCAAAACATGTGTATCTAATATTTTACATTTTAACATCAAAAATTAGAGAAAGAAAGAACTTTTTTTCCCTCAGATGTTTATTTCTTTTGTGCATTTTCATGTAATTATTCACTAGCGACAGTAAAGGTTTGAGGACTTTAGGGGTGTAACATGCAGGAAATGCTCCTTACCCAATGCTCCTTCCTGCATGTGAGCACACGTGGGTAAAAAGGGGGGGTGTTCTCCGTCGATGATTTGTTTCTGTGTTGTGGCTCCTCATCTGAAGCCGGCAGATCTTCAGAAGCTGCGCTGCGGATGAAAATGAGACTTCTTATTTTCCTGAGTCTTTTATTCGTCGCTGGACGCGTCACCGGTGAGTTGCAGCTCCGTTGTTCTTTGATACATTGTTGCTGAGAGTGAAGTTCTAGAACAGTCAGAGGTTCTTGTTTAACTTGCCCTCATTGATTCCAACAGAACGATATCTGTCAGTATTTACCGCCACAGGAACCGACTGCAGCCTCTGAATGATCGAACAGTTCAATCAACCTGTTCGATACAGATTCGCTGTCGCGTGTTGAATGCTGTAAAAGCCCGCGCGGCAGCAGAGATTGTTGCAGGAGCAGTGTTCTGTTCGCTAGTTACCAGTTTGTGTGTGTCTGCGTCATGGTCCTTGTGGTCCCTCTTGGTTAGCCTGCCTGGAGCATTTTGCTAATCGACTGCATACCTCTTCGCATCTTCCTTTCTCCGTTTGTCACGTGGTTCACCGTTAACTATAGTCCTGCATATGGCAGCTGTGTCAATATTACAACGTTACGTTTAACCATCCTAAAAAAGGAACTCACTTCTGCCAAGTTTTAGCAAAGAAGATATCGATTTATTATCAAAATTTTATCCGACGTTTTTTATTAATAAATGACTATTAATGAAGATATGACTGTTGTGTTCTTATTATTGACAATTATACACGAAAAGTCATAATTTGTCAATGAAATGTTCTTTTGTAGTATATTTTACATTTGTGTGATGATATGTGTCTGTCTGTCAGAACCAGTGGTCCTTGTGGTCCGGACCACTGAACTGGTCTGGACCATGGTCCTTCTTCACCGCTCAACTCCTCTGTATTAGGACAGGTGTTCAGTGTTTACAGGTGTTGTTCCCTGTTTACAGGTGTTGTTCTGTGTTTACAATTGTTGTTTAGTAAAGAAAAAATCACTTTCTAGGAAGCTGCTCTGTAAGTTTGTGAAGCAGCGCGAGGACACTTGAAGATTTGTTGCACTATTTAAAAACGATGCAAACTAAGATCGTTAACATATTAAAAATGTCTGTGTTTGGAAGTTTGTGCTTTTTTTTGTGAGCAGTAAAAATATTAAAACACTCCGGGTTATTGAACTAAATATGAAGTTTGTTTTCCCAGCAGCCTCTGTAAATCAGACGATGGAGGCAGAAGAAGGCGGCAGCGTCTTTTTCCAGTGTCACCTGGATCATCAAGTCAACGTGTCAGGTTCACCTGTGAAGTGGAGTAAAGACGGCAGCTCGAATGTCGTCCACCTTTACATTCGTAGACAAGATCATGCTGACGCCCAGAATGAAGAGTTTAGAAACAGGACGCTTCTCTTCCACGAAGGCTTGAGCAGAGGAAACGTGACGCTGCAGCTCTCCTCTGTGCGGCCGTCTGATGCCGGAGGATACAGATGTTATGTTCGACTTCAGGGCGCCTCTTGTTACTTTACCCTCAAAGTTGGTAAGCACACTGAAGTTAGTGCTGAACTTGTGTCAGAATTCAGCTGTTGTTGGTCATTTTAAAGTAAGTTAAAGCACTTTGGTTCAGTATTTGTGTCTCATTTGAAACAGGTCGAAAAGGCCAAACAACCGGAGCACAACAAGGTGATTCCAACACAACCAGACCTCCGCCTGAAGACCTGACCAAGCCAGTCCACACAAGTAAACATCTGAGTCCTAGTTTTTACCAAGCAAGGTTCTAATAGTTGGTTAAAACTGACATTGCCAATGATATTGTATTGTCCCATTTAAATAAGAAATACATTAGACTAGAAAATAAACTGGATTAAGGCAGGTAGCTTTATTTTAAATATACCAGTTCAGGTAAAAATAGACAATTGGACATAAATAAAGTTGTCCTCCTCTGTGAGGGTGGAGGAGGGTTTATAATGAAGTACATCATGGCTTTATAAGTTTCTATGGCTTTAGTTTTAGATGGTATCAAACAGTGCATGTTATAGCTTATAGTCATAAATTCAGAGGGCCCCAGTAACGAGCCTTGAGGTCTGGCAGTTAGTGACCAGTCAACATCTGTCTGGGCCTGAGTCATTGTTGACATCATCACAGTGAGGCTACGTCCACACAACTACCTTTTCTTTTTGAAAACGGCGTTTTCAAAATGAAAACAGTCTTCGTCCACACTAACACACCTGAAAACACATACATGACCATTCACGTAGACTGGGCGTGCACGAGCCGGTGTAAACAGGAAGTAGATTGACTTCTCTGCAGTTGATTAGTTGCAAAAAAAATACTATGAGGGAGGAACAACAGAGACAGCTGTAGTGTTAAAATACAGACTTTAACTGAACAACAGCTGCTGGCAAAGACAACAACGTCAGTGACACTGTGATTCATTCTCATGTTGTATTCACCGCTGGTAGTCCAGGCTGATGACAGCCAATCAGGAGAGACTCTGAGTGTGACCTCATCGTTTCCAAAAGTGACAACACAACCCCGGTGTTTTCAAACTAAAATGAGATCAGCAGCGTTTCCAAAAGTCAGTTCTCAGTGCTCGAGATCTCTGGAGTCGTGTGGACGAGACGAGGAAACCAATATCCTTTCTGATTTCAGGACGCAGACTCAGGGAAGTCTCTGTCGGCATCATTCTCACTGTTGTCGGATGTTTCGGAGTCCTGGTTCTGATGATCTGTAGAAAGGCTCGTAAGTACCATCCTCTGCCCCACATTTAAAAACTCTCGTGTGATCATTGACAAGTTATCATTGATAAGGTGTTAACATTATGCAGCCTCTACACCACACACACCACACACTATTACTCACCTGTTCTCGAACTGAACTGAGGATGTTACAGTTCAAGCAAAGCTGGTTCTTAACTGTTTCAGTGACTGTGACAGGAAAACGTCAGGGAACAGTTACCTTCTTTTCTGCATTAATTGGTCGTAAAATCTGATCTTCATCTAAGTCACAGATATAGACAATGAGCTAATAATTAAGCTAATAACACACAAACAGTTAGAACCTCTTCCAGTAGCTGCGGATCAGACATGCACGATGTTCAGGAGGAAGTTTGGGCCGTTCTCACTTATAGAGCTGCTGCAGCAGATATATATACAGGATATTCTCAGGGTGTCGGGGGTGAGCGCCTCTCTTCAGCTCTTTCCACAGCATCTCTACCGGGTTAAGGTCTGAGCTCTGACTCCAGGAGTTTGATCGTGAAGAGATTCTGTAGATTCACTTGAATGAAAGGTCGTGACCCTGCTGCAAAGTTTTATTTAATGTCTTTCAGTCTTTAAATGATTTGGGCCCCAAATGTATTTGAGAAATGTTCCATGTAAATGAGCCACCTCCGCAGGAGCAGGTCAGTCAGTGGAGCCCACGGTGAAAGGGGAAGTTGGGGTTTTTTGTGTGTGTGAGATGTTTTGGACACTTTAAAAACACCCGTCCAATATCTGTTTAAATGAAGCTTCAAGATGAAATCCGCCCAAACTGTAACTGCTACAAACTGCTGTATTCTCCTCTGCCTTTATTCAATCTGTTAATCTGGCACTTTGATGAGATATTATCTATTTTATAATCTATTTCATAATTATACTGTTTCTTTATTCTGCTTTTTACTTCTAGCAACACTGAATGACCTCTGTGTGTGATAAATAAATTTGCTTATTAATAACATGATGATGACTCAAGTCAAAATTGTAAAATCTGTGTCACAAACAACTTTCCGTTTCCTCAGTGATTCACCGCAGGAGCCGCGAGTTGGGGGCGGGGCAAGAAACCTGACACCCAATCAAAGGAGGGGGGATGAAGACCCAGACAGCGCTGCCAGAAACGGCTCCTGAAACATCAGCTGGAGGTGAAGGCTGGAGAACGACCAATCAGCAAAGACTGACTCAACATCTGTGACGAATGACAGTAACTTAACTCTTCATTTATAGATACGTAGATGGATAGATATTTTTTTCATCCACTTGGGGCAATTATTATAAACTGTATATGGGGAAATATTATTATATTTAAGATTTTTCCAATCTTCACTTTAGTCTGTGACGTTTGGATCGACAGTATTTCTCCAACAGTAGCGGTTGTTGCCGAGCATCTGGTTTTTAAAATGGGATTTGTCAGAACGGTTAGCATAGTTAGCATCTTTTATTTGTGCATATTAATGTTTGTTAGCTTGTAACTGGCTGTGGATGATGCATTGTTAGCAACTGTGCTAATGCTAAATCTTGCTCTCTGCACTGACTAGGTTTCAGGTTTATTAAGCCCCGCCCCCTCGTCCCCACAAGTGGACAGGATTGGTTCCTTAGCTTTGTGACGTATGAAACCCTGACTGTCTGAATGTGAATTTATGAACGTGGCTCGTGATAAGTCTCGTGTCGTGAGGGAGGCGACGATCGTCAGAGGTCAACGACAGCCGCCATATTGGCTACTGGCAATTTCACAGGGCAATAGGACAATCACGGATAAGATATTATATAAATATACTGTATTATGTAAAAAACACTTTCTTTTCTAGCTTACTAAGTTATTTCACTGATCGGACGCCACTTCACATCTCTGTGAGCGTAACTAAAGCAGCTTTTTGTCTCTTTTGTCCAGCACTTTAAGTTTATTTTTTTCCGGCTGCGTCTCACTTTGTGGTAGATTTTAACTGGTCAAACAAACTTCCTGATGACTTGAAAAACGGTTTCATCCGTCCACAAGTAAACTGCACACTTTATTTTCTGTTTGTTGTTTGCGTCTTTTAGAGTGAGATGTTATTTAATGTTCCTGATTTCCAGTCTTCTTGAACATAATGTATTTTAATGTATGTGCTGTATAAAGCTCCTTTTTAACCTGTAATGAAATAATTAATAAGATCTGTCTTTTTATCATCACTATCGCAGCTTTTATTAAATTGTTTTTGTTACTTTCACCAATTTCAGTGTTGCTGTTTTTGGACGAGTTTATTTATTCAGGAGGGTTTTGGTTTCATTTGTCCAGATCTTGTTATAAACACCGGCAGCTTCTTGTGGCTTTAATGAATCAGTAAATAGAGTTTGCAAATTTAAACTAAATCTAAAACAGGGGGCCAGATTTTTTTCAAGTGAGACCTCAGCGGACCGAATTACACTTTCGAACTGAAAAGACCAAACACTGACTCAACATCACTGTCTGAAATTATTCATTAAGGCCTCACTGCGCTGTCTGTCTCCCGCTCCGTGCTCAAAGTCACACCAGGCAGCTCCGCAGGATTAATAAAGTATGTAACCTATTTTATTCATTCATAACACATTTTTACCTAATGAAATTATCTGATTTAATTCACATTTTTGGCGTTTTGTCTAAAACAACTTTACCCACTCGCAAAGCAGACAGCTGCACGGCGGCTGTCTTCTTTTCCAAATACGAATATTAATTTTCACCTCCGAATCCACGGGCCGGATGTGATGTTCAATCGGGCCGGGTCCGGCCCGCGGGCCGTAACCATGGCCTCCCTGATCTAAAACATGTCATTGTTTCGTTCTGACGATTTCACGGAGGAAAGAAATGATGCAGAAGTTTGTTTTCAGTTCCTGGACTTTTCTCTGATCTTTGATTTGTTGTAAAATATGAGAATTTAACTTCATTGGACTTTTTTAAAATCCATTTTATCATCATTTTATTTATTATATTATACCGTCACTGTTTCTCATCTGATCTAGAAACTCTTTTTTAAATAAACCACATACTTGATTTAATTTCAACTATTATAGATGTGACGATTATTGATCTCAGACTATCAGATTTAGATCAAAGTGAACTTGACTCTGTCCTCACTGCTGAAGTCTGATCAAACCAGGAAGTTGTCACTGAGACACGTCTGTGTCTGTGTTGTGGTGGAGACAGATTTCAGACAGATCTCCGTAGATGAGGATGAATAAAACCCGTCTGTGTGGATGATACCACATGTTATAGGAGCCACTGACTCTCAATACAATAATTATGAGCAACAACAATGATGCAAAAGAAATAAAACATTTATTTACAGCAAAAGCAATTAGAGCATAAATACAGATACAGGTGGTTACTGAAAAAACTCTTATTCTTCTTATTCTTTATCACATTAAATTCTTATAAAAATCCTATAACACATATATTTATAATATATCTATCTATATATATATAGAACAGTCCTGATTAGAAACATCACATAATCTTTAATGGATGATGTTTACCATGATTTTATTTTGGTGTCATTACAGTGTCATAAATTTAACAATTAGTCATGAAACAAAGATTTTAAAACGCAATGAATGTTCTTAAAACCATATTAATATGCAGCTTATTACAATTCAATGTCCAGTAGCTTATCTGTGAAAATCACATTCCACTGACATGAATTATTTCTTCCTACAGAACAGAGTAAAGTCACAAAGAAACAGGCGCAACAACAAATAAGCACATTTAAAACACTAACACGCTGACTTAATGTCTCTTAGTTCAGCAGAGACTTTGGGAATCTGCTTTTTATCCGTCAGGTAGTGAATGGTTGTGTTCTCGCTCCAGCAGCATCCCTCCACCACCACTACACCTCTGACATGATGCTTAACAAGCTGTTTCTGCAGGTTCTTCTTCTCCTCCTCCTCCCTCCATCTCTGGTTCCTGCTCCCTTCTTCCCCGCAGCCTCTCCTCACTCCTCCCTGAGAGAGAGAAGCAGTTGGTGACACTTGTTAAAGGATGTTTGTGTTAACTGCAGTGGATCCTGATCTAAGAGTCGGGCCCCTCCAAAGGGTCTCCAGGTAAATCTGAGGGGTCGTGAGACGATTAATGGAGAGTAAAGAAGAAGAAACAAACTTCTGATACACACATCTGTTTTTAGTTTTTACACTTTTCTTCAATCTTTGATTTTATTACTGTGAAAAATTACATTTTCAGACTTACTGATGATTCCTCGTTTCACCAGGACGATGATAATAATAATTAGAACAACAGCACCAAGAACTCCACCAACAACGGCACCGACATTCACCGTCTGAGCATCTGAAGGAAAATCAGAAAGTGTCCAGATGAGACGAAGAACAGTTTCTCTACAACAGTTTCCTAGAGAATGAATCATCAGACATTTACCAGGGTTTGGTGGCGAGGTGGTGGTCATGACAACATCTGTCCTCGTCTTGTTGTGTTGGACTTTTTTCACTGTTTCAAATGAGAAATAAACTGTTTAAACACTTTTTTAAAATCACGTGTTTTATTCAGGAACAAACTTCTTCACTATCTGTGATAAATACTGAATGAAATAAATCCTAAAATGTCCTGTACAGCAGTAAAGTCCTCATGCTTACCAACATTAAGGACAGTGGTACAACCAGCTCTCAGCCCTAGAACAAAACATCGGTACGGTCCACTGTCCTTCAGCTGAACTGAGGAGATCTGCAGTGTCATGATTCCTCTGCTCAGGTCTTCATGGATGAGAGTTGTTCTGTCTCTGTATCGCTCCGTCTGTGGATCAGTGTGGTCCTTTCCATGTCGATAGACGTGGACGACCTCGTCGAGGTCAGTTCTCCTAACGTCCAGTGTATAATCCTCCAGGTTGACCCGGGGATCCAGATCAAACCTAAGTGTAACATCATCACCTTCTTCTGCCTGGATCGTCTCAGTCGGACACTTGACATGATGCTGTGCTGGAGAGACAAACAACATTGAGACAGTTTAAACTTCACAGGTGTGAAATATGTTTGTAGATATGTAGAGAAGCAACTGTGGCCTGAGTCTTCTGCGATCCAAGAGTTCAGTCAAATATCTTTAACAGTGTCCCACAGGAGTAAAGTCTGCAGTCTGTAACGTGCTTCTCTGAATGGACATGAAAAACCCTGGCAGCTCACACTGAGAGTAAATCACCTGGGAGGTAAAATCAAAGCTCACACACATGCGCACGCGCAGCTCCGCCTCTATGTTTCTTGTGATCATGTCTTGGAAACTTTCACTTTCACCAGCAGCTTCTCTCAGTGTCGATATAAACGGCAGCTCGGAGCATGAAGTCGCGGATCTGTTTCCACCGTGAGACGCGGAGGACGGGGGTCGGGAGCAGCTGGTCTCTTCCCCGCCTGCTCTTCACACCAAGAGGAGCGGGAGTCTGCGGCTCGGAGATCAGGTCAGGAATCGAACAGTGGGGCCGCTAAACCGCCACCGCCCTCTCGGCACAATCTGTCGCACTCGCTCGCTCCGTCTGACTGAGAGTGAGGTTCTCACCTGTTCACCTGTTCACCTGTCACCTGTCAAGTCTAAAGCAGGAAGGCAATATAATCTTTGAAGTTCGGTCAGAACTTTTCAGAATAAAAACTCTCAATAGGTGGAAAGGAAGCGTCGCCGTCTTATCATGTGACTAACTTACTGTGCGCAGTTACATTGAGCCAACAGCAGGCGGGTAATTAGCATTTTCTGGGTGGAGACTCTCTATTCGCATTAAATACATAATATACATTATATTCTCTATATACATAATATACATTATATTCTCTATATACATTATAGCTACATGCCCCTGTGGGACTGTCAGTCTGATATTGTAAAACAAATGCAGTAAATATAACTGCTTAGATCTTGAGTTAACCTGACACTGCAACACTCTTAACTGAAGCTAAAAGCCCAAGAACTGCCACAGAGTTGAAATTCCCATCGATAAAATCTTAACAATATCGATCATAACAAACTTTAAAGAGTGTTTCAAAGTTACTGGCTCGTGTTATTGCGTCACGTTCAAAGCTTTAAAAAAGTTTTAAAGAGTCTGTAATTTACCGGTTCGTGCAGGACATTTGTCTATCTTATATAAAAACTGAAAATTAACACGTTTAAAGTTTAAAAAAAAAGTTCTTAAAAGGTAAAACAGTGTAAACATCAGAATCATAAGCTTTAATGTGGATGGAGCAGCCTCCAAACAGACGGAGATTTAATGTTAATATTAAGATGTGACTCACCCAGGGTAAAAGGAAAAGCGGTGAAGAGTAAAGTGACCAGCTTCATGTCCAATATTAAACTTATTCATCGAGAAAAAGAGGATGAAGTGATGTAGACACCTGCCCGCAGCTGAGTGTGAGTGTCTATAACATGTCTCAAAGACGACACCGCCTACTCACTGGGTCTTGTTTTTGATTGGCTGAGAGTCAGGGGCGGGAAATGGGACAAAAATTCAGCCCTGCCATTCGTTTTCTGTCCACACATTATCAGTGCACAGAAGTCCACACATCTAGGGGCGGGGCGAGACTAACGGGAAGAACCCTTGAGCTCCCTTTTCAACTTTTAGTGTGTGAAACCACAGAATAATGTACAAGATTAGTGGCTTTGCCATGTTTTCATGACACTTACCAGTGTTTTCTAAAGCAAAAAGTCAGATCTTTGTGACAATACCTTAAAGTGCCCAAGACAGCACTATACACAGCCATTTGAAAACTACAGTAAAAGTAACACATTTACACAGAAATTAAAGTTACACACAAATTATGAAATAGTTATCACCTCAGTTAAACAATTGTTGTAGTAGTTGATCGTTCATGCAGCGTTGGTGATTTAGCTTTACTTAGCATACTTTGCTAAACTCTGCACCTGCTAGCTACAATGCTCATGGTTGTTTATTTAGAGAATTGTTCACATGCCAGGTAGTTACACTGCATTGAGATTATGCAATCAATAGTGGTTTAACATGTAGTGTGACTGTGTATATATGATGCTCTATACATTGTGTATGATAGCTTGAACAATGTTATTGCTTTCTCTTTGCAGACACACCTGAAGCTCAGAATCAGAACCAGCCAGTCAGAATAGGTTTTATACAGTCCCTTGTTCCGGCCCTCGCTATCAGAGACTGTACAATAAAAGAGTAAATAAGTTAACACTACAGCAGTGTAAACTAAAGCTCAATGGTCATGAATGAGTTGAAATTCTCACGGATAAAATCTCAGTAGTGTTTTACTGAGGCTGAACATGATTATCATGTATGTGCAAAGTATTACGTCCAGTATAAAACCACTAAATACAAAAGACCAAACAACTACTCATTTACCTGAGAAAATAATCACCAGATTAATGGATGATAAAAATAATTGTTATTTTCAGATTTAATTTAAACCAACATCTTTTTGACAGTTTTAATCAGAATTTTTAACACATGGCTTATTTTAAACTTTCGATTTTAACTTGGATGATTAGTTTATTTTATTATCACGTGTCACGTCGCCTCCTCCTTCTTGGAACTGTTTGTTGGTCTTTGTTTTTTTGCACCGGTCAGTGTTTCTAAGTGTTTCTATAGGGAAGTAGGGACTGATACCACACTGATAGTCTGAGTTTAATGTGGATGTGATGTCCCCTCTTGTTCTGTGGCCTGTCGGTCTGTGTTGTACTTGTATCAGGACAGAGAAGCAGAAACAGCTGCAGTCATTGCCATCAGGCTGTATAACACAGCAGCCAAAAAGACAGTGGACTAACTTCATTATTATTGTTTATTATTTATTATTAATTATTATTAATATGAGCCACTGGACACCTGAATCTACCCTCGGGGATAAGAGCATGTTCAATAGATATTGACCAAAAAATCCTTTGCTATAAATACATTTCTTTTATTTCTTTTGCCAATACCCCCATTATTGTCATTTATCATTATTGTATTGAGATGTGGTGTCGTCCAGGGAGACAATTATTATTATTATTATTATTATTAGTAGTAGTAGTAGTAGTAGTAGTAGTAGTAGTAGTAGTAATAATACTATAGTAACAATCTATACAAAATACTGTGGATTCAAATACAGTTACATACTGTAAATATACAATAATTTACTCACAAAACTGACCAGTAATGTGCCGTAAATTTACAAGAATACAGTAAAGAACTGCAATTTTATTTCAAGTAATACACTGTAATACTAAAATACAGTAAATAAAGAAATACAGTACTTGCGAAGCTGCTGCCAGTTGATTACTGTATATTTACAGTGGAAAGTCTTAGTGTCAGTGCGCACATGAGCGCGTTCATATATGTTTTAAGTAATAGTTTGTCTCTGCAGGACCAAATACACATATACTGGTGCTAAGCACATGCACACACACACACACACACACACACACATAGCTACTATCATGCATATAGGCTACATATCTAAATATTCAGTATGCATGTGCAAGCGTGAGTATGCAAGTGCTGCCAACCAGCCACGGCACAAAGCGAAGCACCAAGAAGAAACCTCCAAAGAACAAAGAACCAGCTAAATGAAATGAACAACCACAACTTTAGTTAAAGTAGGCGACACTGTAAAATATGACAAGTTGATCTAACTCACCGTCTTTTCCACGCAGAATGGGTTTGACAGTGGATTTGACACTCGTAACTTTACTATTAGCTGCTTTTCCTTTTACCCTGGGTAAGTTAATTACTTCTTGACTTCTGTTCACATTAAATCTAGGTAGTTACTGTGTGGAGGCTGCGTCATCTATACATATTCTGATGTTTACAGTTTAAACTTTAAAACTAAAAAAAATCTAAAAACTTGAACTTGTTGATTTTCGGTTTGATATTAAATACAAAGTCAAATGAACTGTGATCAATAACATGAACCAGTGGCCGAGCTAACTTACAGAGCTTGTTATGAATGATTAGCAACAAAATTCCTCAATGTACTATTCCATATTGTTTGTACAAGGTTTACACGGTTGTCATTCCAAACGATCGGTGGTTTTATAGTTGCACCTCAGTACCTGTTTACTGTTGATTTGTTAAATGTTTAATTGTATGGTATTTTAGTTGTGTGGTTTGTGATAAATATATATTAAATGCATAGAGCAAATTGTTAGACGTATGTAATATTTATCAAAAGAAAATTAGCGACAATTACATAATTATATTGAGTAATATAACATAATACAATCAAATAATTGAAAATATCAAACAGAAAAAAAAAAATTACGTATTTACTTCGTTCGTTCGTTCGTTCGTTCGTCTCCCGTTTATCCGGATCCGGGTCGCGGGGGCAGCAGCCTCAGCAGAGAGGTCCAGACGGCCCTCTCCCCGGCCACTTCCACCAGCTCCTCCGGGAGAATCCCGAGGCGTTCCAAGGCCAGCTGAGAGATATAATCCCTCGGTCGGCCTCGAGGTCACCAGATGCCCGAACCACCTCAGCTGGCTCCTCTCGACACGGAGGAGCAGCGGCTCTACTCCGAGTCCCTCCCGGATGACCGAGCTCCTCACCTTATCTCTAAGGCTGAGCCCGGCCACCCTGCGGAGGAAACTCACACTAAATACTACAGATATATAAGATTTACTTACATTTTTTAGGACAATGATGTTCCTGTCTATGAAAAAATCAAATAGACCTTACTTTAATAGTTTAAATAAATGTAACATAAAACATTGATGTAATTAAATAAGATTTACTTAGTATGTTCACAAATGTTAAGTTTAGTTTCAGGTAAAATTTACTTGATACTGGCGAGCGAGTTTTACTTGATATTGCAGCATTAAAATTTACTTAAAACATTTGAGTACATTTGAGTTATTTTTTTCAGTGTGACATTGATCCTGGTGAATCTACGTCTGTTTGGATCCTGCTTCATTAACACATTTACACTGTTGCAACTTTTAAGGACTTTTTAAAACTTTGAACGTGTTTATTTTCAGTTTGAGAAAAAATAAAATGGCACATAGTTCATGTAGCAGGGGTTGGGAGGGGAGGAGGGGAAAGATAATCCAAACCACTCTGCAGAAGTTATGTACAGTGTTCAAACTCTACAGAGAGAAACAAACAAAGAAAAGGCGACGCCAACAAAGCGAAAAGAAATTTTTTAAGTTTTTGCGGTTGGAAAATATCAGCAGCACAGAGGAGGAATTTGACCAAGGAGCAGTTACAGGACTGACGCTTCCTGGACCGAGGCTGTGCCCCGTGCCCGGGGCTGAGAGTGAGAGGAACTTAAAGTCACATCTTGTTTCTGGTTTCTCAGTTTTGACAATGTGCCTCAACAAGCGGCACAGTCCTGCACAGTCCGTGCACTCCAGGTTATTCCTTCACTCAATAATGGACATGAGGCTGTTCTCTGCTTCACCATTGATCCTGGGTGAGTTAGTGCTCAACTTTACCTTAAACTTTTATACATGGAAACTTTTGAAGACGCTTCCTCTCTGAGTGCAGGTGTCCCGAACTTTTTAAAACTTTTAAGGACTTTTTAAAACTTGTGAAATTTGATATTGTTGAGAATATTTTATTTGCCTTTATTAGAGAAAGAGAGAGAGAGAGAGAGAGAGAGAGAGAGAGAGATAGTTGGGACTCAGGATGTGCGCTGCGCTACACTTCGCTCTTGTCTCATGTGAAAGAGGAGCCAGAGAGAGAGACAGAGACAGAGACAGACAGAGACAGACAGAGACAGAGACAGACAGAGACAGAGAGGGCAACAAGTTCACATGAGGATGATGATCTCTGTGTTTCAGGAGGACGATCCTTCAGTGGATGATTTTAAGATTTGTTGCATCCAGAAACTTCAGCTCTGTGTTTGAAGAGTTTAACTGTTAGAAATGGAGGTTTTCTTTTAGACGTGTTTAAACTGTCTCAATGTTGTTTGTCTCTCCAGCACAGCATCATGTCAAGTGTCCGACTGAGACGATCCAGGCAGAAGAAGGTGATGATGTTACACTTAGGTTTGATCTGGATCCCCAGGTCAACTTGTTGGATTATACACTGGAGCCTGCTGTGCTTGGACTGGTTAGAAAAGAATGCAACCGGAAGTTAACACGATGACTCCTGAACTGTGCTCTGTGCAGAACTGTCTCAGTCCAAGATATTTTTCTCATATGCTCCTCCTCTCTTGTGCTGTATCAGAGATGTGTCTGCGAAACACATTCCTCCTGTAGCAGCAGCGTATTTCTCTCACCGGTCAGTCCCCGTGGAGGAGCAACAGAGGAGGATAAATTAGTTTCATCCTCAGAGTGTAGACTGAGATTTTAACGCGTTACTTTAAACTTTTATACGTGGAAACTTTTGAAGACGCTTCTTCTGTGAGTGCAGGTGTCCTGATAACTTTATCTTCTTTTTCTCTCTCAATAATGGACATGAGGCTGTTCACTGCCCTGTTCTCTGCTTTACCATTGATCCTGGGTGAGTTAGTGCTGAACTTCTGTTCACAGTGAATCTACGTCTGTTTGGATTCTGCTTCATTAATGATTATTATTCTGATATTTACACTGTTGAAACTTTTAAGGACTTTTTAAAACTTTGAACTTTTTAAAACTTTGAACATGTTTATTTTCAGTTTGACAAAAAATAAAAAAGGCAAATAGACTTTTTAAAACTTGTGAAGTTTGATATGGTTGAGAATAATAAGTTATTTTTTGGGCTATTTTTATTTACCTTTATTAGAGAAAGAGAGAGAGAGAGAGAAAAATACTTATGACTCATGGTGTGCACCATATGTGTGGCCCCTGTTAGCTAGATATTATCAATGAGAGATTAACTTTTGTAATTGTGGAGCCAGAGAGAGAGGAGAGAGAAAGAGAGAGAGAGGGAGAGAAATAGTTATGACTCATAGTGTGCGCTCCACTTCGCTCTTGTCTCATGTGAAGGAGGAGCTAGAGAGAGGAGAGGCAGAGAGAGAGGGAGGACAAATAGTCATGACTCATGGTGTGCGCTCCACTCAGGTCATGTCTGAAGGAGGAACCAGAGGGGGGGGGGGGGGGGGGGGGGGGGGGGGGGCAGAGACAGAGAGGGCAACAAGTTCACATGAGGAGATGATCTCTGTGTTTCAGGAGGACGATCCTTCAGTGGATGAGCAGCACATTTTAAGATTTGTTGCATCCAGAAACTTCAGCTCTGTGTTTGAAGAGTTTAACTGTTAGAAATGGAGGTTTTCTTTTAGACGTGTTTAAACTGTCTCAGTGTTGTTTGTCTCTCCAGCACAGCATCATGTCAAGTGTCCGACTGAGACGATCCAGGCAGAAGAAGGTGATGATGTTACACTTAGGTTTGATCTGGATCCCCGGGTCAACCTGGAGGATTATACACTGGACGTTAGGAGAACTGACCTCGACGAGGTCGTCCACGCCTATCGACATGGAAAGGACCTCACTGATCCACAGATGGAGCGATACAGAGACAGAACAACTCTCATCCATGAAGACCTGAGCAGAGGAATCGTGACACTGCAGATCTCCTCAGTTCAGCTGAAGGACAGTGGACCGTACCGATGTTTTGTTCTAGGGCTGAGAGCTGGTTGTACCACTGTCCTTAATGTTGGTAAGCATGAGGACTTTACTACTGTACAGGACATTTTAGGATTTATTTCATTCAGTATTTATCACAGATAGTGAAGAAGTTTGTTCCTGAATAAAACACGTGATTTTAAAAAGTGTTTAAACAGTTTATTTCTCATTTGAAACAGTGAAAAAAGTCCAACACAACAAGACGAAGACAGATGATGTCATGACCACCACCTCGCCACCAAACCCTGGTAAATGTCTTTGATTCATTCTCTAGGAAACTGTTGTAGAGAAACTGTTCTTTGTCTCATCTGGACACTTTCTGATTTTCCTTCAGATGCTCAGACGGTGAATGTTGGTGCCGTTGTTGGTGGAGTTCTTGGTGCTGTTGTTCTAATTATTATTATCATCGTCCTGGTGAAACGAGGAATCATCAGTAAGTCTGAAAATCTAATATTTCACAATAATAAAATCAAAGATTGAAGAAAAGTGTAAAAACTAAAAACAGATGTGTGTATCAGAAGTTTGTTTCTTCTTCTTTACTCTCCATTAATCGTCTCACGACCCCTCAGATTTACCTGGAGACCCTTTGGAGGGGCCCGACTCTTAGATCAGGATCCACTGCAGTTAACACAAACATCCTTTAACAAGTGTCACCAACTGCTTCTCTCTCTCAGGGAGGAGTGAGGAGAGGCTGCGGGGAAGAAGGGAGCAGGAACCAGAGATGGAGGGAGGAGGAGGAGGAGAAGAACCTGCAGAAGCAGCTTGTTAAGCATCATGTCAGAGGTGTAGTGGTGGTGGAGGGATGCTGCTGGAGCGAGAACACAACCATTCACTACCTGACGGATAAAAAGCAGATTCCCAAAGTCTCTGCTGAACTAAGAGACATGAAACCTCCGTGTGAAGACGAGTGAAGGTGTTTAAACACAACTCAAACACAACAGCAGTCGTGATGAGTTTGGGTCAGAAGCACAGTTTTGGAAAAGGGAAAATTTCACAGAGAAAACATCAATAAAATATACAGGATAATATAAAAACAGGGACCAGTCAGTTTACACATACAAATGAAATGGGAACAGACGTTGTCATGGAAACGTGTAATCAGGAAATACTCTGTGATCAAGCAGAGCTGTGACACAGTTGTCGTGTCCATGTTGTTAACACATTTATATTCCATATGTCTGAAAATGTAAAGATGCAACTTTTTTAATGCAAAGAAATAATTCATCATTTTAGAGATAAACTCCTGGACATTAAACTGGAACTACGTTAAGTTGCATATTAATATTCAAATCATGGTAAACGGCCCCCATTAAAGCTTGAGGGAGATGTTTCATATAAAGAGGGAGATTTTGATCAACATCATCCGGTCTCTGGGGATTTGGATGTCGGCATCAATGTATTATCGTGTGCTAACCTGAGATCTGCCACAACTGTGTCCACCTTTATAATTACACTGAAAACCTTTGTATTTTCTTTTAGTTTAGTTTTTTAATGTAGTTTCTCTTTTGTTGATGTTGCTACTGTGTGTTTATGTGAGTAGTACGCTCCTCATATGTATCTATCAACACCGCCATAACCTGGAAGTTACACGCACACACACCTCTTTGCATCTCAAATACTAGATCCCCTCTGAAATCATCATCATCATCATTTTGTCTTTTCTTCCTCTTTTGTCCAGTGTTACACTTGTCTTCACCTGGTCAGGCTAAAGGAGTGAAGATCAACTAACACCACCGGTGCAGCCCTGTGTGTTAATGTTACGACCTTTGACCTGCCCTTTTCAGTCATCATTCCCTTGAAAGCTGCTGTATTGTTGTGTTCACATTTAGCTGCTCCTGGCCGTCCCTCGGTGGAGGCTGAGTGGAAAGGGTGATCGGGCTTTTGCGGTAGCTGCCCCAAAACTTTAGAACCGTTTACCTCTGTTAATGAAGTGTTCTCCCTCTGTGGTCATCGTTAAGTCTGATCTCAAAACCCTCAGGTTTCAGTCTCTCACTTTTATCCTTTGTGTTTTTAATTCAAACGGCTCCATGTCTGTGTCAAACCATGAGATACTTAACGCATCCTTTCAGCTGTTTCTATGTTGTGTGTTTATTGTTGTATTGTATTGTGCAGCACTTTGGTGGTTTTTTAAAATGTATTTTATAAATAAACAAGATAAGATTTGATTTAATCTGTGAACAATCTGTATATTCAACACTTATGTTACATTATGTACGAGCAGTGAAAGGAACTGTAATGACTTTGCTGACTTGTCCTGCAGCGCCATCGTGACGTCACACTCCTACCTGCTCCAATATAAAATGGTTGCTGCAGAACTGACAACTTTCCCATCAACCTCAGCTGTACTTTATTTTCAGGGCTAATGAGCAAACATGGCGACGGCTGAAGAGACCGTACATGCGTCACCGTATCAGTGGACAACAAGGGTGGGATTAGCAACGGACATAAATGTATTCAGAGAGAAGAGTATCACAGCATTGCATGAAAACTTAGTGAGTTCAAGAAGAAGCAGCGCCAACAGGTTTCAGGCTGTGAGGAGAGGGACAGCCTCTTCAGCCAATCAGAGGGCGGTGCCCACTGAGAGAGCCCGCCTCCTCCTCTATAAGTCTGTGCGCGCACCTTGTCTTTGTTCCCACGCTCAGCTCTTTACCACAGGACGAGGAATCAATTACATTACAGTGACCACACACACACACACACACACACACACACACACACACACAGATAAATGCGTCTCTTCAGAGGCTCAGGTCTGGTTCTGTTCACGGTCGGAGGGACAGTTCTGGACGTTTCACCTGACCCTTCCTCCTCCTCCTCAGTGTTTATTCTGTCAAGAAGCGAACAGGAAAACGAACAGTCCGTTCATTATTAAACTAAATCAGCGAGATAAAGACGAAGTGAAGTGAAGTGACACGTGCGGAGAGATTAGAGGATGTGAGTCGTTGGTATGTCGGTCTCCATCAGCCTCCTACATGGAAACAGCTAATATGTTTATATCCGGGTAAGAAAGGAGCTAAAAACGGAGCTCATCTGAATATCCTAATGGACATTTTAGCGGGTTCTGTGACGCAGGGAGGAGCCTCCTGAGTCTGTTTGAAGGAGCCATCTGATTGGCTCAGATGGCTCCTCCCCTCTACCCCTGCCCCTGTCACAGAACCCGCTAAAATGTAAATTGGAATATTCAGATTATCCTATAATTTCAATATTCACTTTTAGCGGGTTCTGTGACGTAGGTAGGAACAGAGGAGCGCGGCCTTCCCATTGGATCATTTATCTGATCCAATGAGCATGCGCCTTTCCTCTGGAGCGGAGTGGTGTCTCAGAAACCAATTTATAAAAGTTCATGCAGACAAGTAACACATAGTCGACCAGCATCATCTAATTTTTCTGCAAGTGTAACTTCATCTTCTTTTTCTCACTCAATAATGGACATGAGGCTGTTCACGTTCCTGTTCTCTGCTTTACCATTGATCCTGGGTGAGTTAGTGCTGAACTTCTGTTCACAGTGAATCTACGTCTGTTTGGATTCTGCTTCATTAATGATTATTATTCTGATATTTACACTGTTGAAACTTTTAAGGACTTTTTAAAACTTTGAACTTTTTAAAACTTTGAACATGTTTATTTTCAGTTTGACAAAAAATAAAAAAGGCAAATAGACTTTTTAAAACTTGTGAAGTTTGATATGGTTGAGAATAATAAGTTATTTTTTGGGCTATTTTTATTTGTCTTTATAAGAGAAAGAGAGAGAAATAGCTGGGACTCAGGTTGTGCAACATATGTATGGCTTCTGTTATTATCACTGAGAGTTTAACTTTTGTAATTGTGGAGACCTTGACTCATGGTCTGCGGTTTACTCAGCTCTTGTCTCATGTGAAGGAAGAGCCAGAGAGAGGAGAGGCAGAGAGAGACAGAGACAGAGGGGGCAACAAGCTCACATGAGGAGGTGATCTCTGTGTTTCAGGAGGACGATCCTTCAGTGGATGAGCAGCACATTTTGAGATTTGTTGTACCAGGAACTTCAGCTCTGTTTGAAGAGTTTAACTGTTAGAAATGGAGGTTGTCTTTTAGACGTGTTTAAACTGCTGCAGCTCAACATGCGTTCTCATTTCTTGTTGCCGTCTCGCACTCCCCTGCACGCGCACGCTCACATACCCCATACCCACAGACCTGGCATTTTCACAGAACATCTGAACATGTACAACTTTATACAGGAACATTACTATAGGGTTGCTACAATACTGTTATAAACTGTATGTTGTCTTGTAAAGCTAACGTTAGCGTTATTCATGCCTGATTTGCTGTTTTTTACGCTTCCGGGTGGGCGTCCCTTGATAACCATGGAGACTCCACTTTAATGTCACAATGCTATGAACTTTGAGTAACTCTCTAAGAACTTACACTAAAGATCCTCCATTCAGTTTCTCTACTGTCTCTGCTTGTACCGGTGAAACCTCTCCATGTCTGTGAGGGCGGACGTTGGGACCGGGCCATAGTGGCAGTTTCTGCACATGCGCAGTTCATAAAAAAGGAGCTCCGGCCTGTGTAAGACGTTAACTTTGCTCCTCTGTCTACCAACCTACAGGTACTGTAAAACTCACTTTTATACTCTTAATACACGGATGTAAAACTCTTGTAGCAGCGGTATTAGTTGTTGTGAAGAGTGTTCGGAGAGTTTTGAGACGTGTAAGATTTTGCAGCGGGTTAGTTTTTGGTCAACGACGGTTATCTTTCACCGGAAGTCTGCGCAGTAGTTTTAAAAGTGTATGTACTCGACACTAGTGTTAAGTGACGTGGTTAAACGTGTTGTTAATGTTGTCAGGATGTTAACCAGCCATTAACGAGGAAACAGGGAAAGGAGAAATCCCACATTTCAACTGTTTTCACTGTCGCCGCCATGATGGGGATGGGCCCTGTTGGTCGCTGCCGCCTTGGCGTTAGCGCGCGTGTGTGTCGTGGATGAGTATTGATAGTGTTGAATGAGCGTAAACAGGATTATATTATGCTGATGTGTCTGCGACAGTAGGAGAGGGTATAACAGAATGAGTTCCCCTATATTATTATTATTTTGGGAAGTTATTATGAAGTTATGTTGACTTACTGTCTTTTGGTGTCAATTATTGATCTCTCTATCAGTCCACAGTATCTTTATATAAGCTACACAGTGTTTGAGTGTTATCAGTCAATTGAATAAGCGTTATCATTATACCTGTGTCCCACAGAATTGGGCTAATAGGAACCTATTAAACCTACTAGTATCTTACGGAGGCGGTTACCACCCATTTATTTAGGTGAGCAAATCCATTTGGAGCCCAGTCGGTTCACGTGACACAGACACACAGCTCCCATTCGCCAGCTGTTTGTACCTTGTTTAATATCGGAGAGCGCTTAGAGTTCCTGAACAGACCAGACAGACTTTATTCTCACTGAATTAATTTAGACTCTAGACTGTCTGCTCTTGACGTTGCGTTCATCGTCTTTTCCACGCAGAATGGGTTTGACAGTGGATTTGACACTCGTAACTTTACTATTAGCTGCTTTTCCTTTTACCCTGGGTAAGTTAATTACTTCTTGACTTCTGTTCACATTAAATCTAGGTAGTTACTGTGTGGAGGCTGCGTCATCTATACATATTCTGATGTTTACAGTTTAAACTTTAAAACTAAAAAAAAATCTAAAAACTTGAATATATTAAATGAATCAAATGAACTGTGATCAACGCAATAACATGAACCAGTGGCCGAGCTAACTTACAGAGCTTGTTATGAATGATTACCATTGATCCTGGTGAATCTACGTCTGTTTGGATCCTGCTTCATTAATGATTATTATTCTGTTGAAACTTTTAAGGACTTTTTAAAACTTTGAACTTTTTAAAACTTTGAACGTGTTTATTTTCAGTTTGAGAAAAAATAAAATGGCAAATAGTTCATGTAGCAGGGGTTGGGAGGGTAGGAGGGGAAAGATAATCCAAACCACTCTGCAGTAGTGATGTACAGTGTTCAAACTCTACAGAGAGAAACAAACAAAGAAAAGGCGACACCAACAAAGCGAAAATAAATTTAAAACCAACAAAAACATTTAAACCGGACAGTTTTTGCGGTTGGAAAATATCAGCAGCAAAGAGGAGGAATTTGAACAAGGAGCAGTTACAGGACTGAGCGCTTCCTGGACCGAGGCTGTGACGGGCCTGAGGCTGTGAGAGGCACATTAAGTCACATCTTGTTTCTGGTTTCTCATTTTTAGTGAGTGACAATGTGCCTCAACAAGCGGCACAGTCCTATCCTGCACAGTCCGTGCACTCCAGGTTATTTTCTGACTCAATAATGGACATGAGGCTGTTCACTGTCCTGTTCTCTGTTTGGATTCTGCTTCATTAAACGATTATTATTCTGATATTTACACTGTTTAAACTTTTTTCAATTTTTTTTTTAAACCCTGGTGAGTTTTGGTTCCTTTATTCTTTGATACATTGTTATTCAGAGTGAATGTTCGCGCGCCTGGTTTTCATGTGCTTAGGTTGATTCTTGTAATATCTAAGAATGTTATTGATTTCTCCTCCTATGGTGGAGAACTCGACCTGTTCAGGCTGGGATTGGCTCCAGCCCCGCCTAATTGGGGGGAGGGGAGGGGCTGCGACCCTATAAGGATATGCGACATGGATGGATGGATTATAGAACTGGTAGAGAACTGATTGTAGAAACAGGTTCAGTTCGGGCAGATAGACTTATGAAGGAGGCGCGCAGAGTTCAAGCTCCTCTATTTTCCGTTTGTTGGTGTTTTGCTTTTCATAAAACACATCAAGCTCTGTTTTCATGTCATGCTGTAATAACCTTCGCTATGATTACATTTATTTCTCTCACCTATACCACAATTTTTTAAATTTATTATGATTGTATTCAGAGTCAACATGTGGTATCATCCACACAGACAGTTTGGTTTTTGTTTGTCCTCATCTTCAGAGATCTGTCTGTGAATTGTGTCTCCATCGGACATATTTCAATGGAGTTTCATTTGCACTAACAGCATCTTGTGGGTCTGAATCGGTGAATGAACACGGGTTGTGAATTATGAGACTCTGCTGATCTGAAGTTAACAGAGGTGTCCTCTCTCTGTTTCACCCACATGAAGTCTGCAGGACACAGTCGCCACCTACTGGCTGACAGTTGTCAAGTCAAAATGTTTCCCTGTAAATCCCCAAAACAAATGTGCTGTAAAATAGATGTTTTCACCTAAAACCAGCACACACTGTAGGATGACGACCAGGAAATGTATTCACTTTAGTAGTTTGATCACATTTATTCTACACCGTGATCTGCAGCCTGGCAGAAAAAGTACTGAGAAGCAATACATCAAATGTAAATATTCTCCATTACAGATTAAAGTCCTCCATTCAAAATAACAATGTACCTTTTATTTGAATCCCTTTAATTTTAATTGGTCTCCCATATGTATAAATAGATACGTTTACACACATCTGTTGTCAGTTTCTGGACGTTTCTCAAATCTCTGATATGTTGTAAAGTATTCAGTTGATTTAACAACAGAGGCTTTTTTTCTTCATCCATTTTTATATTTTATCTTTTTATAGCTTTGTCTTTCTTCCGTTGTTTACTATGAATCACGTTGTGATGTATGAGCAAGAAACTACTCTGCCATAAATGAACCACTTCACATTCATAAACTTCTTTCTTGCTTGTGCGCTCTTACTAGTTGCAGTTGGGCGTTTGGTTGTTGTGCTTGGCGTGCTGTCTAGTTCCCCTCAGGTGCCTTCATAATAAAAGCAGAAATATTATTTTCTGGTTTGTGTCGTAACATTTAGTCGTATTTAACAAACAAATCAATGGCATAATGTTTTATATGAATAGACCTGCAGTTAATGACTAATTAGTACTGTTAAAGAGCAGTGCGATTACATTTTATTTACTTCCTGAGAAAGGTATCTGCTTTTATTATGAAGGCACTATATGTCTTTCCCTCTCTGTCTTTCAATCAACCAGAAGACTGTTTTCAACTAGTCACAAATATTTTCTCAAGTAGAAACTTTTAAAGACGCTTCCGCTAAACAGCAGACAGGTGTCACTTCATCCTCTTTATCTCTCTGAATTAGTTAAATAATGAACGTACTGTTAATTTTCCTGTTCGCTGCTTTTCCTTTTACCCTGGGTAAGTTACTTCATGATTTCTGTTCATATGAAATCCTCGTCTCTACTGTTTGAAGGATACTTCATCTACATGAACGATTGTTATTCTGATGTTTACTCTGTTTAAACTTTTTTTAAAAACTTTAAACTTGAGTTTTTGGCGTGTTAATTTTCAGTTTGCTATAAGATAAACTGTCCTACATGAAGCAGTGAACTACAGAGTCTTTAAGGTGGTTATTGCGGTTATTTGACGTGGGGATGTGTGAATTACTTATCTATAGGCAGTGTGCCTACAGATTCTCAGTGCGCTTTCGGTTGGGACCTTCAAAATAAGAGTTCTATTGCGGAAATCGAACAGAAATGTCCAATTAAAGCAGAAATTATACAGTAGCAAATATTTTTTTAGATAAACAAACTTGTTAGTATTAAATGGCGCTTACATCTAGAGTAATACCTATAATTAACCACCATACCTTATTACTAAGCACTGTGTTAGCTGAACGGCAGATGAAGCGGTGAAAATATTCAAAATATAGTCTATACACTTAAACTGATATTAGCTTTTTTTCTGTGAGGATGTTTTAAGTGGCTGAAACGTTTTTACGGAAGGCCCTGTCCACAGCAGTTCATCCTGCTGCTTCTTTAAACTGGGAGCTGATCTGACTCTACTGTTTGAAGGATACTTCATCTACATGAACGATTATTATTCTGATGTTTACTCTGTTTAAAATTTTTTAAAAAACTTTATTAATTTTCAGTTTGCTATAAGATAAACTGTCCTACATGAAGCAGTGAACTACAGAGTCTTTAAGGTGGTTATTGCTGTTATTTGACGTGGGGATGTGTGAATTTCTTATCTATAGGCAGTGGGCCTACAGATTCTCAGTGCACCGTCGGTTTAGAAAAAGCACCAGGTGGGTCAGAAATTACAACCTTCAGAATAAGAGTTCCATTGTGCAAATCGAACGGAAATATCAAATTAAAACAAAAATTATACAGTAGCAAATATTTTTAGAATAAACAAACTTGTTAGTATTAAATGGCGCTTACATCTAGAGTAATACCTATAATTAACCACCATACCTTATTACTAAGCACTGTGTTAGCTGAACGGCAGATGAAGCGGTGAAAATATTCCAAATAAAGTCTATACACTTAAACTGATATTAGCTTTTTTTCTGTGAGGATGTTTTAAGTGGCTGAAACACGTTTTTGCGGAAGGCCCTGTCCACAGCACTTCATCACTCAGCTTCTGTACTGGTGCTCCTGCTGCTTCTTTAAACTGGGAGCTGATCTGACTCTACTGCATGTAATACACTAACTATAGATAAATACCTCACACAAACCCACGTCAAATAACCCAAACTATCACTTTATCACTTTTGATATTGTTGACATTTTACCAATGAGAATTTTAGCTCTCTAGTTTCAGTTATCTGAGAAAATAATCACCTGATTAATGGATAATAAAAGTAATTGTTAGTTTCAGCTCGGAGTTAAACCAACACCCATTTGAAAACTTACAGGTATAAACAGTTTTATCTTTGTTGTGTTGGACTGCATCAGCTGTGTGTTTCAGGAGGACGATCCTTCAGTGGATGAGCAGCACATTTTGAGATTTGTTGCATCCAGAAACTTCAGCTCTGTGTTTGAAGAGTTTAACTGTTAGAAATGGAGGTTTTCTTTTAGACGTGTTTAAACTGTCTCAATGTTGTTTGTCTCTCCAGCACAGCATCATGTCAAGTGTCCGACTGAGACGATCCAGGCAGAAGAAGGTGATGATGTTACACTTAGGTTTGATCTGGATCCCCGGGTCAACCTGGTGAATTATACACTGGATATCAAGAGAGATAACAAGATCATCCACGTCTATCGACATGGAAAGGACCTCACTGATCCACAGACGGAGCGATACAGAGACAGAACAACTCTCATCCATGAAGACCTGAGCAGAGGAATCATGACACTGCAGATCTCCTCAGTTCAGCTGAAGGACAGTGGACCGTACCGATGTTTTGTCCCAGGGCTGAGAGCTGGTTGTACCACTGTCCTTAATGTTGGTAAGCATGAGGACTTTACTACTGTACAGGACATTTTAGGATTTATTTCATTCAGTATTTATCACAGATAGTGAAGAAGTTTGTTCCTGAATAAAACACGTGATTTTAAAAAAGTGTTTAAACAGTTTATTTCTCATTTGAAACAGTGAAAAAAGTCCAACACAACAAGACGAGGACAGATGATGTCATGACCACCACCTCGCCACCAAACCCTGGTAAATGTCTTTGATTCATTCTCTAGGAAACTGTTGTAGAGAAACTGTTCTTCGTCTCATCTGGACACTTTCTGATTTTCCTTCAGATGCTCAGACGGTGAATGTCGGTGCTGTTGTTGGTGGAGTTCTTGGTGCTGTTGTTCTAATTATTATTATCATCGTCCTGGTGAAACGAGGAATCATCAGTAAGTCTGAAAATCTAATATTTCACAATAATAAAATCAAAGATTGAAGAAAAGTGTAAAAACTAAAAACAGATGTGTGTATCAGAAGTTTGTTTCTTCTTCTTTACTCTCCATTAATCGTCTCACGACCCCTCAGATTTACCTGGAGACCCTTTGGAGGGGCCCGACTCTTAGATCAGGATCCACTGCAGTTAACACAAACATCCTTTAACAAGTGTCACCAACTGCTTCTCTCTCTCAGGGAGGAGTGAGGAGAGGCTGCGGGGAAGAAGGGAGCAGGAACCAGAGATGGAGGGAGGAGGAGGAGGAGAAGAACCTGCAGAAGCAGCTTGTTAAGCATCATGTCAGAGGTGTAGTGGTGGTGGAGGGATGCTGCTGGAGCGAGAACACAACCATTCACTACCTGACGGATAAAAAGCAGATTCCCAAAGTCTCTGCTGAACTAAGAGACATGAAACCTCCGTGTGAAGACGAGTGAAGGTGTTTAAACACAACTCAAACACAACAGCAGTCGTGATGAGTTTGGGTCAGAAGCACAGTTTTGGAAAAGGGAAAATTTCATAGAGAAAACATCAATAAAATATACAGGATAATATAAAAACAGGGACCAGTCAGTTTACACATACAAATGAAATGGGAACAGACGTTGTCATGGAAACGTGTAATCAGGAAATACTCTGTGATCAAGCAGAGCTGTGACACAGTTGTCGTGTCCATGTTGTTAACACATTTATATTCCATATGTCTGAAAATGTAAAGATGCAACTTTTTTAATGCAAAGAAATAATTCATCATTTTAGAGATAAACTCCTGGACATTAAACTGGAACTACGTTAAGTTGCATATTAATATTCAAATCATGGTAAACGGCCCCCATTAAAGCTTGAGGGAGATGTTTCATATAAAGAGGGAGATTTTGATCAACATCATCCGGTCTCTGGGGATTTGGATGTCGGCATCAATGTATTATCGTGTGCTAACCTGAGATCTGCCACAACTGTGTCCACCTTTATAATTACACTGAAAACCTTTGTATTTTCTTTTAGTTTAGTTTTTTAATGTAGTTTCTCTTTTGTTGATGTTGCTACTGTGTGTTTATGTGAGTAGTACGCTCCTCATATGTATCTATCAACACCGCCATAACCTGGAAGTTACACGCACACACACCTCTTTGCATCTCAAATACTAGATCCCCTCTGAAATCATCATCATCATCATTTTGTCTTTTCTTCCTCTTTTGTCCAGTGTTACACTTGTCTTCACCTGGTCAGGCTAAAGGAGTGAAGATCAACTAACACCACCGGTGCAGCCCTGTGTGTTAATGTTACGACCTTTGACCTGCCCTTTTCAGTCATCATTCCCTTGAAAGCTGCTGTATTGTTGTGTTCACATTTAGCTGCTCCTGGCCGTCCCTCGGTGGAGGCTGAGTGGAAAGGGTGATCGGGCTTTTGCGGTAGCTGCCCCAAAACTTTAGAACCGTTTACCTCTGTTAATGAAGTGTTCTCCCTCTGTGGTCATCGTTAAGTCTGATCTCAAAACCCTCAGGTTTCAGTCTCTCACTTTTATCCTTTGTGTTTTTAATTCAAACGGCTCCATGTCTGTGTCAAACCATGAGATACTTAACGCATCCTTTCAGCTGTTTCTATGTTGTGTGTTTATTGTTGTATTGTATTGTGCAGCACTTTGGTGGTTTTTTAAAATGTATTTTATAAATAAACAAGATAAGATTTGATTTAATCTGTGAACAATCTGTATATTCAACACTTATGTTACATTATGTACGAGCAGTGAAAGGAACTGTAATGACTTTGCTGACTTGTCCTGCAGCGCCATCGTGACGTCACACTCCTACCTGCTCCAATATAAAATGGTTGCTGCAGAACTGACAACTTTCCCATCAACCTCAGCTGTACTTTATTTTCAGGGCTAATGAGCAAACATGGCGACGGCTGAAGAGACCGTACATGCGTCACCGTATCAGTGGACAACAAGGGTGGGATTAGCAACGGACATAAATGTATTCAGAGAGAAGAGTATCACAGCATTGCATGAAAACTTAGTGAGTTCAAGAAGAAGCAGCGCCAACAGGTTTCAGGCTGTGAGGAGAGGGACAGCCTCTTCAGCCAATCAGAGGGCGGTGCCCACTGAGAGAGCCCGCCTCCTCCTCTATAAGTCTGTGCGCGCACCTTGTCTTTGTTCCCACGCTCAGCTCTTTACCACAGGACGAGGAATCAATTACATTACAGTGCACACACACACACACACACACACACACACACACACACACACAGATAAATGCGTCTCTTCAGAGGCTCAGGTCTGGTTCTGTTCACGGTCGGAGGGACAGTTCTGGACGTTTCACCTGACCCTTCCTCCTCCTCCTCAGTGTTTATTCTGTCAAGAAGCGAACAGGAAAACGAACAGTCCGTTCATTATTAAACTAAATCAGCGAGATAAAGACGAAGTGAAGTGAAGTGACACGTGCGGAGAGATTAGAGGATGTGAGTCGTTGGTATGTCGGTCTCCATCAGCCTCCTACATGGAAACAGCTAATATGTTTATATCCGGGTAAGAAAGGAGCTAAAAACGGAGCTCATCTGAATATCCTAATGGACATTTTAGCGGGTTCTGTGACGCAGGGAGGAGCCTCCTGAGTCTGTTTGAAGGAGCCATCTGATTGGCTCAGATGGCTCCTCCCCTCTACCCCTGCCCCTGTCACAGAACCCGCTAAAATGTAAATTGGAATATTCAGATTATCCTATAATTTCAATATTCACTTTTAGCGGGTTCTGTGACGTAGGTAGGAACAGAGGAGCGCGGCCTTCCCATTGGATCATTTATCTGATCCAATGAGCATGCGCCTTTCCTCTGGAGCGGAGTGGTGTCTCAGAAACCAATTTATAAAAGTTCATGCAGACAAGTAACACATAGTCGACCAGCATCATCTAATTTTTCTGCAAGTGTAACTTCATCTTCTTTTTCTCACTCAATAATGGACATGAGGCTGTTCACGTTCCTGTTCTCTGCTTTACCATTGATCCTGGGTGAGTTAGTGCTGAACTTCTGTTCACAGTGAATCTACGTCTGTTTGGATTCTGCTTCATTAATGATTATTATTCTGATATTTACACTGTTGAAACTTTTAAGGACTTTTTAAAACTTTGAACTTTTTAAAACTTTGAACATGTTTATTTTCAGTTTGACAAAAAATAAAAAAGGCAAATAGACTTTTTAAAACTTGTGAAGTTTGATATGGTTGAGAATAATAAGTTATTTTTTGGGCTATTTTTATTTGTCTTTATAAGAGAAAGAGAGAGAAATAGCTGGGACTCAGGTTGTGCAACATATGTATGGCTTCTGTTATTATCACTGAGAGTTTAACTTTTGTAATTGTGGAGACCTTGACTCATGGTCTGCGGTTTACTCAGCTCTTGTCTCATGTGAAGGAAGAGCCAGAGAGAGGAGAGGCAGAGAGAGACAGAGACAGAGGGGGCAACAAGCTCACATGAGGAGGTGATCTCTGTGTTTCAGGAGGACGATCCTTCAGTGGATGAGCAGCACATTTTGAGATTTGTTGTACCAGGAACTTCAGCTCTGTTTGAAGAGTTTAACTGTTAGAAATGGAGGTTGTCTTTTAGACGTGTTTAAACTGCTGCAGCTCAACATGCGTTCTCATTTCTTGTTGCCGTCTCGCACTCCCCTGCACGCGCACGCTCACATACCCCATACCCACAGACCTGGCATTTTTACAGAACATCTGAACATGTACAACTTTATACAGGAACATTACTATAGGGTTGCTACAATACTGTTATAAACTGTATGTTGTCTTGTAAAGCTAACGTTAGCGTTATTCATGCCTGATTTGCTGTTTTTTACGCTTCCGGGTGGGCGTCCCTTGATAACCATGGAGACTCCACTTTAATGTCACAATGCTATGAACTTTGAGTAACTCTCTAAGAACTTACACTAAAGATCCTCCATTCAGTTTCTCTACTGTCTCTGCTTGTACCGGTGAAACCTCTCCATGTCTGTGAGGGCGGACGTTGGGACCGGGCCATAGTGGCAGTTTCTGCACATGCGCAGTTCATAAAAAAGGAGCTCCGGCCTGTGTAAGACGTTAACTTTGCTCCTCTGTCTACCAACCTACAGGTACTGTAAAACTCACTTTTATACTCTTAATACACGGATGTAAAACTCTTGTAGCAGCGGTATTAGTTGTTGTGAAGAGTGTTCGGAGAGTTTTGAGACGTGTAAGATTTTGCAGCGGGTTAGTTTTTGGTCAACGACGGTTATCTTTCACCGGAAGTCTGCGCAGTAGTTTTAAAAGTGTATGTACTCGACACTAGTGTTAAGTGACGTGGTTAAACGTGTTGTTAATGTTGTCAGGATGTTAACCAGCCATTAACGAGGAAACAGGGAAAGGAGAAATCCCACATTTCAACTGTTTTCACTGTCGCCGCCATGATGGGGATGGGCCCTGTTGGTCGCTGCCGCCTTGGCGTTAGCGCGCGTGTGTGTCGTGGATGAGTATTGATAGTGTTGAATGAGCGTAAACAGGATTATATTATGCTGATGTGTCTGCGACAGTAGGAGAGGGTATAACAGAATGAGTTCCCCTATATTATTATTATTTTGGGAAGTTATTATGAAGTTATGTTGACTTACTGTCTTTTGGTGTCAATTATTGATCTCTCTATCAGTCCACAGTATCTTTATATAAGCTACACAGTGTTTGAGTGTTATCAGTCAATTGAATAAGCGTTATCATTATACCTGTGTCCCACAGAATTGGGCTAATAGGAACCTATTAAACCTACTAGTATCTTACGGAGGCGGTTACCACCCATTTATTTAGGTGAGCAAATCCATTTGGAGCCCAGTCGGTTCACGTGACACAGACACACAGCTCCCATTCGCCAGCTGTTTGTACCTTGTTTAATATCGGAGAGCGCTTAGAGTTCCTGAACAGACCAGACAGACTTTATTCTCACTGAATTAATTTAGACTCTAGACTGTCTGCTCTTGACGTTGCGTTCATCGTCTTTTCCACGCAGAATGGGTTTGACAGTGGATTTGACACTCGTAACTTTACTATTAGCTGCTTTTCCTTTTACCCTGGGTAAGTTAATTACTTCTTGACTTCTGTTCACATTAAATCTAGGTAGTTACTGTGTGGAGGCTGCGTCATCTATACATATTCTGATGTTTACAGTTTAAACTTTAAAACTAAAAAAAAATCTAAAAACTTGAATATATTAAATGAATCAAATGAACTGTGATCAACGCAATAACATGAACCAGTGGCCGAGCTAACTTACAGAGCTTGTTATGAATGATTACCATTGATCCTGGTGAATCTACGTCTGTTTGGATCCTGCTTCATTAATGATTATTATTCTGTTGAAACTTTTAAGGACTTTTTAAAACTTTGAACTTTTTAAAACTTTGAACGTGTTTATTTTCAGTTTGAGAAAAAATAAAATGGCAAATAGTTCATGTAGCAGGGGTTGGGAGGGTAGGAGGGGAAAGATAATCCAAACCACTCTGCAGTAGTGATGTACAGTGTTCAAACTCTACAGAGAGAAACAAACAAAGAAAAGGCGACACCAACAAAGCGAAAATAAATTTAAAACCAACAAAAACATTTAAACCGGACAGTTTTTGCGGTTGGAAAATATCAGCAGCAAAGAGGAGGAATTTGAACAAGGAGCAGTTACAGGACTGAGCGCTTCCTGGACCGAGGCTGTGACGGGCCTGAGGCTGTGAGAGGCACATTAAGTCACATCTTGTTTCTGGTTTCTCATTTTTAGTGAGTGACAATGTGCCTCAACAAGCGGCACAGTCCTATCCTGCACAGTCCGTGCACTCCAGGTTATTTTCTGACTCAATAATGGACATGAGGCTGTTCACTGTCCTGTTCTCTGTTTGGATTCTGCTTCATTAAACGATTATTATTCTGATATTTACACTGTTTAAACTTTTTTCAATTTTTTTTTTAAACCCTGGTGAGTTTTGGTTCCTTTATTCTTTGATACATTGTTATTCAGAGTGAATGTTCGCGCGCCTGGTTTTCATGTGCTTAGGTTGATTCTTGTAATATCTAAGAATGTTATTGATTTCTCCTCCTATGGTGGAGAACTCGACCTGTTCAGGCTGGGATTGGCTCCAGCCCCGCCTAATTGGGGGGAGGGGAGGGGCTGCGACCCTATAAGGATATGCGACATGGATGGATGGATTATAGAACTGGTAGAGAACTGATTGTAGAAACAGGTTCAGTTCGGGCAGATAGACTTATGAAGGAGGCGCGCAGAGTTCAAGCTCCTCTATTTTCCGTTTGTTGGTGTTTTGCTTTTCATAAAACACATCAAGCTCTGTTTTCATGTCATGCTGTAATAACCTTCGCTATGATTACATTTATTTCTCTCACCTATACCACAATTTTTTAAATTTATTATGATTGTATTCAGAGTCAACATGTGGTATCATCCACACAGACAGTTTGGTTTTTGTTTGTCCTCATCTTCAGAGATCTGTCTGTGAATTGTGTCTCCATCGGACATATTTCAATGGAGTTTCATTTGCACTAACAGCATCTTGTGGGTCTGAATCGGTGAATGAACACGGGTTGTGAATTATGAGACTCTGCTGATCTGAAGTTAACAGAGGTGTCCTCTCTCTGTTTCACCCACATGAAGTCTGCAGGACACAGTCGCCACCTACTGGCTGACAGTTGTCAAGTCAAAATGTTTCCCTGTAAATCCCCAAAACAAATGTGCTGTAAAATAGATGTTTTCACCTAAAACCAGCACACACTGTAGGATGACGACCAGGAAATGTATTCACTTTAGTAGTTTGATCACATTTATTCTACACCGTGATCTGCAGCCTGGCAGAAAAAGTACTGAGAAGCAATACATCAAATGTAAATATTCTCCATTACAGATTAAAGTCCTCCATTCAAAATAACAATGTACCTTTTATTTGAATCCCTTTAATTTTAATTGGTCTCCCATATGTATAAATAGATACGTTTACACACATCTGTTGTCAGTTTCTGGACGTTTCTCAAATCTCTGAAATGTTGTAGAGTATTCAGTTGATTTAACAACAAAGGCTTTTTTCTTCATCCATTTTTATATTTTATCTTTTTATAGCTTTGTCTTTCTTCCGTCGTTTACTATGAAGCACGTTGTGCTGTCTGTACAAGAAAAAACTTGGGCTTTCTTGGGCGTGTGCGCTTACTAGTTGCAGTCAAGTGATTGGTTGTTGTTGCTTGGCGTGCTGTCTAGTTTCCCTCAGGTGCCTTCATAATAAAAGCAGAAATATTATTTTCTGGTTTGTGTCGTAACATTTAGTCGTATTTAACAAACAAATCAATGGCATAATGTTTTATATGAATAGACCTGCAGTTAATGACTAATTAGTACTGTTAAAGAGCAGTGCGATTACATTTTATTTACTTCCTGAGAAAGGTATCTGCTTTTATTATGAAGGCACTATATGTCTTTCCCTCTCACGTTGCAAAACGGAACTGTGTCTTTACATTGGCCAGAAGATTGTTCAACTAGTCACAAATATTTTGTCTGGTAGAAACTTTTAAAGACGCTTCCGCTAAACAGCAGACAGGTGTCACTTCATCCTCTTTATCTCTCTGAATTAGTTAAATAATGAACGTACTGTTAATTTTCCTGTTCGCTGCTTTTCCTTTTACCCTGGGTAAGTTACTTCATGATTTCTGTTCATATGAAATCCTCGTCTCTACTGTTTGAAGGATACTTCATCTACATGAACGATTGTTATTCTGATGTTTACTCTGTTTAAACTTTTTTTAAAAACTTTAAACTTGAGTTTTTGGCGTGTTAATTTTCAGTTTGCTATAAGATAAACTGTCCTACATGAAGCAGTGAACTACAGAGTCTTTAAGGTGGTTATTGCGGTTATTTGACGTGGGGATGTGTGAATTACTTATCTATAGGCAGTGTGCCTACAGATTCTCAGTGCGCTTTCGGTTGGGACCTTCAAAATAAGAGTTCTATTGCGGAAATCGAACAGAAATGTCCAATTAAAGCAGAAATTATACAGTAGCAAATATTTTTTTAGATAAACAAACTTGTTAGTATTAAATGGCGCTTACATCTAGAGTAATACCTATAATTAACCACCATACCTTATTACTAAGCACTGTGTTAGCTGAACGGCAGATGAAGCGGTGAAAATATTCAAAATATAGTCTATACACTTAAACTGATATTAGCTTTTTTTCTGTGAGGATGTTTTAAGTGGCTGAAACGTTTTTACGGAAGGCCCTGTCCACAGCAGTTCATCCTGCTGCTTCTTTAAACTGGGAGCTGATCTGACTCTACTGCATGTAATACACTAACTATAGATAAATACCTCACACAAACCCACGTCAAATAACCCAAACTATCACTTTATCACTTTTGATATTGTTGACATTTTACCAATGAGAATTTTAGCTCTCTAGTTTCAGTTATCTGAGAAAATAATCACCTGATTAATGGATAATAAAAGTAATTGTTAGTTTGAAAACTTACAGATATATACAGTTTTATCTTTGTTGTGTTGGACTGCATCAGCTGTGTGTTTCAGGAGGACGATCCTTCAGTGGATGAGCAGCACATTTTAAGATTTGTTGCATCCAGAAACTTCAGCTCTGTGTTTGAAGATTTTAACTGTTAGAAATGGAGGTTTTCTTTTAGACGTGTTTAAACTGTCTCAATGTTGTTTGTCTCTCCAGCACAGCATCATGTCAAGTGTCCGACTGAGACGATCCAGGCAGAAGAAGGTGATGATGTTACACTTAGGTTTGATCTGGATCCCCGGGTCAACCTGGAGGATTATACACTGGATATCAAGAGAGATAACAAGATCATCCACGTCTATCGACATGGAAAGGACCTCACTGATCCACAGATGGAGCGATACAGAAACGGAACAACTCTCATCCATGAAGACCTGAGCAGAGGAATCGTGACACTGCAGATCTCCTCAGTTCAGCTGAAGGACAGTGGACCGTACCAATGTTTTGTCCCAAAGCTGAGCGCTCATTGTACCACTGTCCTTAATGTTGGTAAGCATGAGGACTTTACTACTGTACAGGACATTTTAGGATTTATTTCATTCAGTATTTATCACAGATAGTGAAGAAGTTTGTTCCTGAATAAAACACGTGATTTTAAAAAGTGATTAAACAGTTTATTTCTCATTTGAAACAGTGAAAAAAGTCCAACACAACAAGACGAGGACAGATGATGTCATGACCACCACCTCGCCACCAAACCCTGGTAAATGTCTTTGATTCATTCTCTAGGAAACTGTTGTAGAGAAACTGTTCTTCGTCTCATCTGGACACTTTCTGATTTTCCTTCAGATGCTCAGACGGTGAATGTCGGTGCCGTTGTTGGTGGAGTTCTTGGTGTTGTTGTTCTAATTATTATTATCATCGTCCTGGTGAAACATGGAATCATCAGTAAGTCTGAAAATCTAATATTTCACAATAATAAAATCAAAGATTGAACTCTTAAACAAGTTTCACCAAGTCTCACTCTCTCTCAAGGAGGAGTGTGGAGAAGCTGTGAGGAAGAAGGAACAGNACACTACACTGACGACATGTTTGGGGTATTATTATCGTCCTGGTGAAACATGGAATCATCAGTAAGTCTGAAAATCTAATATTTCACAATAATAAAATCAAAGATTGAACTCTTAAACAAGTTTCACCAAGTCTCACTCTCTCTCAAGGAGGAGTGTGGAGAAGCTGTGAGGAAGAAGGAACAGGAACCAGAGATGGAAGCAAACTGACCTCAAATGGAGTATTGATCATCCAAGCAGCAGAAAACCGCTCATGAAACATCATCACAGTGTGAACATTGAACTAACCAGAGGCTGTATGTAAAAGGCTAAAGACTAAAAGACTAAAATGAATCACTGAATTTACAAAACCCATTCAACATTGCAGGCGATGTTGTTAATCTTTTATTATTTTAACCCACTGAGGAACAATCCACAAATATTTGACATGATCCAAAAACGTCTCACTATCCACAAACATGTAGTTTTGATGATATGAAATGATACTAAACTACATGTTTAGTGATATTTATGGAATTGTGGATCAAGGTTTTGCACAGTTATGGTTTGCTTCCTGTTGGTTTGTCTGGTGACATTTGTGACCTCCCTCCTATTTGCATATTTTATTCTGTTATTACAGCAGCTGATCAATAGGAAATAAAGTTACCAGCTAAACCAGCAGGTGGCGACTTTCCCTGACATGAGCTTGAACTAGTATCTGCAGTAAAGTAAAAAGTGATTTTTTTTATGAGAGATCATGTTTGGCACTGATATGCACCTATATTTAAATTGTTTTTTTTTTGTTTGGTTTTTTTTTTATAAAATACTGAAAAATAAAGTGTAAACTGTCCTTTTGTGTAGTAGTCAATGTGTTGGAGTCAATTTTAACTGCGTCATATACTCGGTGCTTTAATCTATAATGATGCGTCTTATTTTATCAACTGGTCATTTGTTTTGAGTGAAATCTGAAAAATAGTAACAGTAAATGTAGTGACGTAAAGTAGAATATTTCCATATGAAATGTCGTTTAGTAGAAGTATTTTATAAAGTAAAGGTACTTTAACGTTGTACTTTAATAAATGCACCTTATTAGTATTAATGTAGTTCCCGGGAAGATAACATTCCGCCAAAACAGTTCTCTATTAAAACTCCCGCCACGGGCCTGAGTGTGGGTTTGGCAACATATGACGTAACATCCGCCCAATGCGTCAGCGTCTCCAATGAGCATCGAGGCCGCCGTGGCATCAGCCAATCAGAGAGCAGCGGCGGGAAATACAGCTGATCGACGAGGAGGCGACATCTGCGATTTGGCGCTAGTCTGGGCTCAGTCTGCCGAAGAAGACGGAGGGACGCGGAGGCAGAGAGGACTTCAAGAGACGAGTTAACTGTCCAGTCTGAGCTCAGAAGACTTTCTTCAACTTTTAAGACAAGTAAGTTTATCAACAACTTGTTAATTTAAGTGGTAAAAGCTGAAAACGTCTGTTTATCGATCCCGGAAGTAGTTCAGCCCCCGCGTCTCTAATATCCCTGAGTCGGTTTGCTAGGTTATCGTCTAAAATACCACGATTAGCTTCTTTTTCACGTTATATACCAACAAATATTTCTAGTCAGAGTTACTCTCATGATAACCTGATATGTTTTAGATTAAACCAGAGTCGAATTAATGTCGAAATGTTGCTGTTTTAATGCAAATGTACGTGTTTGGAGCTTCAGCTATCTTGGCGCCATTAATCAGCCACACTGTATTGTCTTCTTCGCTGGTTGTTTAATGTAAATATAACTGTTAGAAAAGGATTAATAACACTTAAAACACGTTGTGTTTATACTGTTAAGTGTTGTGTTACGATCTGAGGCTTTAACGTCATTATTACTTTCACTTCACTGACGTTTTATTCTAATCTTTATTTTACATGTAAGAAAAAACGAAATGTGGACATCAGCCCTCTAAGGAAGCAGATCTTAGTCGTGGAGGAAGAAATATACTTCATACTTTTATCATTTTATTAAAAAAACACTTACTACATCACTAATGTAATATAAGATAAGATGAACTTTTATTGATCCCACACCGGGGAAATTCACTTGCTACTGCAGCATAGGAAAACGAGGGAAGAAAAACAAGTATAACAATAGAATAAAGTAGATTATGTACATGTAGGTATGTACATTATAAGTACTTGCATTTGTAGAGATATTTACATAATCGTAAGTATTGACATTATTGAAATATATTGCACAGAGCGTTTGCATTATATAGCATTTTAAAAACTGCACAGCGTTATTTGCATGCTCATGATAATGTGAAATAATCCCTTTTTTGTGCATTAGAGCAGAACAGCAACAATAAATTGATGGACAGAAAATTGACTTTAGATAATTGAAAAATCATTTTACTTGCTGCCATTTTCATACATGTGCAACAACCAAATAACACAATAAGTAATAGAACAAAATTGTAAATATAAATTGCTAAATTACCAATCATAATCAGTAAACCACAACAGAAACCTCAGGTAACGTCTCCTGGGGTTTCCTGTCCCTCCTCAGATCATGTAATGGATTATTATCATCTTCATGTTTCAGGTCAAACAAAATGCCCAGCACTCGCTCTCAGGGCCGGGCTCAGCCCACGCTGCAGTTCCCCCGGCGCAAGTCCTGCAGAGAGTCGTCCCGCTCCAAGACGCCTCAGCCCCAGAAGTCTCCACTCCCTTCACCAAGCAAGCCTGAACGCCAGCACCTGACCCGCATCGGGCCGCTCTCCCCGAGACGTCCCGCTGTCCAGCTCACCCCTCTCTCTCCAGGACGTCTGCCACCCTCCTCCCCCGGTCTCCAGCCACGGCTTCCCCTCAGCCCCCGAAAACGCACAGGTAAGAGGTTCTGGCCCAGACAGGTAAACCACAAGAGCATCAAGTCAGAGTGGTGAATGTATTCAAGCGTTTCAGGATGATTCATAGTGTTTTACTCGCGACAACAGTCTTAGAAATAAAGAACTTAATGTGGTTGAACTGCAGGAAGTGACGGTCGATAAGTAATCTTCATTATAACAGGTGTAACACCTTTCAAAATAAGAGTTATAAGGTACTTACAGATGCACAAACACACAACCGGACTTTGAGAGAATGAGCAAACAGAAATAAGATGATAGATTTGCTAAAGAGCTTGAAAGAATCTGGATTTCAGGAGATCAGTTTTGTTGGGTGAGAAACGACATGTTTCGTTTACGTGTGATTTTCACCATTTAAAGCAGCAGCTCTCGTGTTTTAAGCCATGATGAGAAGAGAAGGAACCAGACAAGCAACAAGTGATGAAATGGAGCAACAAACAACTTTTAAACTTCTGATGTCACAGAGTTTCTTCATGTCTCCTGGAGGTTTAAAATCAATTCTGTATTTTGTCTCTGAAGGCGACGACAACGGTTGTAACCTCGGCGCCGCCCTGCTGGGTTCCCCGCCGAAGCAGAGCAAGCCGACTCTGGCCTCGCCCCGAAAACTGGGCTTTGACGAGAACTCGCCGGTCACGGCTCGCCGCCAGCTGGTCCCGTCCTCGCCACGGCAGCCGCTGTCTCCTGCCGTCGCCTTATCCCCGAGACGCCAGGAAACGCCGACTGGAAGTCCTGCTCGCCAGAACTCTGAGAAGAAGCCGCCGGTCATTCGACTGTTTGCAGAAAGTGAGTGTCTGTCTGTGAAGAGTTCATGTTTTCAACCTTTTCAGCTGCAATTATCCAAGTTAAGATACAACAAACGAATAGTGACAGGACGAACAAAGTCTTTTGAGGGAGACGAGGACGGACGGGAGCTGCTGGGTGGTTGGACACACCTGTCTCTGTGTTTAATGGATCTCTGGTAAAGAGAAGATGGATTTGGGTTCAGTGGCATTTCTAACCTCGCCGTTTCTCCCCCAGAGTCGAGGTTCCAGAGCGTGAAGCAGGCGCTGCACACCGCCGTCCCCGAGCGCCTCCTGTCCAGGGAGGCCGAGCGGGCGTCCATCCGGTCTTTCCTGGAGGACAAGGTGCTGCGGCGCGTCCCCGGCAGCCTCTACATCTCCGGAGCTCCGGGCACCGGCAAGACGGCCTGTTTCAACTGTGTCCTGCAGGAGATGAAGGTACTTTTCTAACTTTACCCCTTAATTAATCATTTTATTCTTAATTTAAAGATGGAAATTAGCTCGTTACCAAAACTGTAACTTCAGGCAACAACATTACTCAGCTAAACTGTGACTTACAGGAGGAGGAGGAGCGTCTTATGTTAGAGGAAGCACATAATGTTTCTGTCTGTGGCTCCGTCAGTTGAAAACACCTCTGCTGTTGTTGTCGTCTTCAGGCCGAGCTGTCGCAGGTGCAGACGGTGGTGGTGAACTGCATGAGTCTGAGGAGCTCCCACGCCATCTTCCGGCTGCTGGCCGACAAGCTGAGAGCGTCCGGAGGGCAGAGCGGCCTGCAGAGGCTCCTGACGGCCCCGGGGCCCGCTGTGTGAGTAAAGCGGGGGGGGGGGGGGGGGACGACTCTTACATGTATGATCATCAATGACTTTTACATTTAGAATTTCAAACATTTGCTGGTTTAGGCTTCAACATCTGGTCCAGTAAAGAGTTTGGGTTCATCAGATATCGACTGACTCCATCTTTGTTTCGTCCTCAGGCTTCTTGTCCTGGACGAGATGGACCAGCTGGACAGTAAAGCTCAGGACGTCCTGTACACCATCTTCGAATGGCCGTACCTGCCCCAGTCTCGCCTCTGCCTCGTCGGTAAGAGCTCCGTCCTCCAGATGTTGTCTCTGCACACAGCTGGAAAACTGAGCCTGTGTCTCTGTTTTCGCTCTTTATTATTATTATTTATCATTATTCTTGCTCTGTACTGGAGGTTGAATAAGAAAAACAGAAAGAAACTTCATCTCTTGCATTTGTTTATAATATTAGACAGAGGCTCTTACATAACACACAAACATGCTGCTCTTATTCATCATGGCCTTCATCAACAGAGGGTTTTTATTTACCCCTCCAGTACTAGAAAGCATCAGGGTGGGGCGATGGATGATGACATCAGGAGGTCGTCTGTGCTACTGAACTATAAATATTTTCTATTACTCAGAACACAGTTACTGAGCTCTGACGCTAATAATCGTTAGCGACGCAGAGTAGAAACCATCAGCTGAGCGTCGCTGCAGGAGGTTAAAACGACTAACGTCACTAATTAATGTTCATTCAGTCTGTAACTCGACATCAGGACTAAATTAAACTCGGCTGTTCGTTCAGTCAAAGATAGTTTGTGAGGGAAGAAGCTCCACTCTGTAAGATCCCTGTTTCTTTAGTTTTGACAAATCCGCCAGAGTGAGACGTCTTCTTTCACATCACATCACAACTGAACATTTATATCAATGATTTAAGCTCAAACTTTATATTTTACATGATGCATCATAAGAAATGAGAGACTGAAGTTCTTCAACAGATTAACGTCTCGGTGTTTTTTAATGCTTCTTTGTTTTTTATTATTTTAACATTTTTTTTAATAACAATCATAAACACTGTTGTGACCTCTGTGGTGTTTGTGCAGGTATTGCCAACGCTCTGGATCTGACGGACCGGATCCTGCCCCGGCTGCAGGCTCGGCCTCACTGCCGCCCCCTGCTGTTACACTTCCCTCCCTACAGCCGACAGGAGCTCACCGCCATCGTCCAGGACAGACTCGCTCAGGTAAACACAACGCCGTCAGAGAGGGAGATGAACACGGCGAATAAGATAAAACGACGTGTGTGTGTGTGTGTGAGAGACTCTGATGATTTTGTATTAATTTGTGATCTGTGTTCCTCCTCAGGCGTCGGCCGACGGGATCCTCGACGCCTCGGCGGTTCAGTTCTGTGCCAGAAAAGTGTCGGCGGTGTCGGGAGACGCCAGGAAGGCTCTGGACATCTGCAGGTAAATATTTCACAAAGCCGCCTCCATGTTGTTTCTGCCGGTTAAAACATCAGCTCCTGCTTTTCTCTCTGAACACGAGACGTCTCTCAGTTTTAAAGCTTTTATAATCAAACATCCAGATTAGATTCAGTCAGTTTGATTTTTGTGGAGCATCTTAATGAGACGTTAATTTCTCACAGTATTTTATAATGATCTTACAGACACAGATCTGAAACATGAATGACCTCCATAGATCTGATCAGACCACATGCTGTTAAAACAGGTGGATTTTGTTTTTGTTTTCCAGGAGAGCGGTGGAGATCGTGGAGTCGGACGAGAGAAAGAAAGCGACCGATTCAAAAGCTGAAACTAAAGGTGAGTGAAGCTGCGACGGCCATGAAAATCTTTTGCTGACTTGTGAGTCTCTCAGAGCTGCATCAGCGCGATCGTCCTGCTGATGTTAAAGTCATTTACAGATTGTGTTTAAGTCTAAACAGCTGATTGACTGACGCGCTTCTTGTCCTTGGGTTGTTTCAGCGTCTCGGGTCAGCCTCCCTCAGGTTGCCCGGGTGCTGTCGGAGGTGTACGGCGACCGGATGGCGGCTCAGAGCGGCGGCTCGGAGGGAGAGAGTTTCCCCCTGCAGCAGAAGCTGCTCGTCTGCTGCCTCCTGCTGCTCATTCGCAACGGAAAGAGCAAAGAGATCGTCCTCGGGAAGGTGAGACTCCGAACTGCCGACGTTCATGTCGGCGGCAGGATGTGGATTCAAGGTTCTAGCTGATTGGATGAAAATTATAAATGAGACTAAGTCCAATTAAACAGCTTTGATCCACTGCAATGTGAATTTAAAGATCTGTTATTAACTGTAAATAAACTTTGTCTGTTTTGCGTCAGCTGCACGAGGTGTACAGCCGTCTGTGCGCTCAGCGACAGGTGTCGGGCGTCGGTCAGGGCGAGTGTCTGTCGCTCTGCGGTCTGCTGGAGAGTCGAGGGATCTTCGCTCTGAAGAAAGCCAAAGAGGCTCGACTCACCAAGGTACAGCACCGTCTCCACATCAAACCAGACTCTACTGAGACTCTACTGTTGAGCGCAGATACTCAAAGAGGACCAGGATTTAAAGTTGGTGTCGGCCATGATCAGAGCTGGTTCTCTCAGTGACGACAGGAGCTTCAGTGGTTCCTTTATCTCCTTTAGCAGAGGAAACACTGGAGAAAATGCTGTCCCACAATTCCTTGCTGCAGCAACATTTAAAGCAACGCATCGTTATAAAAGTAGAAACAACAGAACAGCTGTTTTATGTTTGTGATGGAAATCCTTGTCTGATCGACTGAAGCCCAAATATATAGATATAGATTCATTCTCTTTAAATCCAGTCAGGAGTCGTCATGAAGCAGAACTTCTAGTTAACGATATCATCATCACAAAATACTATAATTATAGATAAATGTCATTTCACCAAAACCCCTTCTGTTGTGTAAAAACCTAAAATTAAATTTCTTGACTTAAAAAAATTATAAAAATGTCAAAAGTGCCGACGACCGGAAACTCTGCTTATATCTGAATATAATTTATTGTGATCTCTTTCTCAGTTCCTTATTTTTATTATTATTGTTGTTATTAATATTTTAATGGCTCAGCTTCATCTACTTGTGTGTTCCCTTCATGTCATCCTGAGTATTTATCGTCTTAGTGTGTAAATGAAATTAGAAGCTCAGGCTGCAGTCGAAGTCAAAACAAACCTCGACAGAAAACGTCATGAGGTCAAAGGTGAAGGAGTCGGTCCGACTGAGATGTTGAGTTCAGGGTTTTGTTCTGTTTTTTTCTACCTGGAAACCAAACGTCTGTTTTGGTCTCGTCCTGCAGGTGTTTCTGAAGATCGAGGAGAAAGACGTTGAGAACGCCCTGAAGGATCGGACTCTGCTGGGCAGCATCCTGGCTGCAGGACTCCCCTCCTGACCACCTGCTTATTTATTCTTTTAGATTTTTAAGTTGAATGAACCAAGATTGTTTTTCACTGGTTTGTTGTTTTTTTTATTCTCATTTTTGCTGGGAATTTGTACATTTCTCTGAAAGTATTTACTACATTTTTTTTTTTTTTTCTTCAGCTGCGGTTTGACTCAGTTTTGGGCTGTTTTTTGAAAAATGTTGAATTCGCGTCAGTTATGAAATGACAGCTGCTGTTTCAGTTGAGATTTGAAACGTTTCCATTTTTATGTTGTAAATAAACAGATGTACAGACGTTTTAATCGGCTCTCGTTTCTGCCTCAGGTCTTTCTCCAAGCAGAGGAGAATTTACTGTCCATCAACATAACTTTATTACTCGGCTCCTCCTCCCTTACTCAGTATCGTCACACCTGTGGAAGGACAGGTATGGACACAACATGGTGACCACGGCCTGTTTTTTCTCAAACTGCTAAAAGTAAGATTTTTGAAATTAAGGTGAAAACAAAGATAAAAACAATTCATCATTTATCAAACTTCTTAGTAAAGTAGGATAATTAAGAAAAGGACTAAACCTTTTCTTCAAGTGTATTTTCAGTTTTTTGAGCACTTTGACTCTGATAGTGACAGTGAGGACAGGTAGAGGAGGTGTGTGACATCCCAGAATTTAACTGGGAGCATTATGGTTGTTAGGTTACGACAATCAGCCTCTAAGCTGTTCTTTTGAAACTCGGCTCAGATGTGTCGTCTCTTGAGGATCAGCAGGTCTGTGGACTGACGCCGTCCACCTGAGCAGCCGCTCTGATTGGATTAAAGGGTTAACAGCCGAGGACGGGCTGCAGCAGGAGTTGTGAGGCATCTCCAATACACACACTTGTGACTGTAGTCAAGAGAACACAGCTGGTGTGAACCCCTGAACGCTGCGTCACCCGTCTTACAGAATGAGTTTCTATCCCAGTCGACAGATTCCAGAACCACGTAGGGTTTTTTTTAAATGTTTAAATTTTATCATATGAATGTAAGATTTTGCCAAAATTTAATTCATACATTTAAAAGGGAACTATTTGTATGTTTTGCTAATGCTACACAGCTAGCGTTAGCATTAACAGCTATTTATTTTCCAGTCTTAGCAAGCGCTCCAGCCATCGTGTTTACAAGACAAAAGGTTCTAATACGTCCTCTGAGTAGCTACTTCTTCAGGGCAGACTGAATGCTTCAGTGACTCGGTATCGGAAAGTGACCAGACAGGCTAGCTAGTTAGCATGCTAACATCAAGAAAGGTGTGATAGAAACAGACGCAAAACAAGAGGGTTGATTTCCACCTCCAGGGACAACTCTTGGCGAGAAACGGAATAAATTTTGATGTTGAACTCAGGTTTCTTTGACTGCTAATGCTAATGCTAGCTACATAGCCATAGCAAAACTTACATGGTAAAAATCTGAAGTCAACTTATGTGATTTTTGCACCTCAACAAGCCAGTACAACACAAATATAAACTATTCAAATATGATTTATTCACAGCAACACTTTAAAGTGGATGAAAATATATATTGTGCATGTTTTCAAATACAAATACAGTGAACAAAAATGTAAACATCAGACGTAAAGTATGAATAAATATTCAGATGTATAATACATATTTCATTTAATCTTCTGCCAGTAAAACACTAGGAAATAACTCAAAGCTTTAGTAAAGATACAGCAAGAAAAACACTTTCTCCAACACAAACTCTTTATATGTTATAGCTTATATTTAGTTTGTTTTTAGCTTAAATATGGGATTTTCCATAATTCATCAACAGTAGTTCAAATACTTTCCTGTGATTGTCTGATTGTTCTGACTCTTAGAAATCACAGAAACATCCAGATGTTCAGTCTGAGACAACACTCGCTTGATTGATCAGATGCTTTGGCTCCATTTTAGAAAGAAAAATGAAATTTCTTTTTTAAATTTCATGTCTTGATTTGTCCAGATGGAAAAAGAGCAGTTAAACATGAAGTTGGGTTCAAACAACAGGAGTTTTTGAAGGTTTATGTGAATATTTTTAAACCTTAAGCTCCCATTTGTTGATATTTTGTCTCTGTGTGTTTATTATTGTATTATTATATAGTAACGCTGCCGTGTTGTTTCAGACTGGACAAACTTCACAAATGACCTGATGTCAGTAACTAACTCGTGAGCGTGAATCGTGGAAATCAAAAGTAGTAAACAAATATAAATAAGCAGTTTTACACATTCAGCGTGAGGAGGTTGAGTCGGTGTGAGATCGAAGAAACATTCCTGGTGAATTCATATGCATTCAGTTTCAAAAGTTTACTCAGAAAATGTACATGTTAAATACAATAAATCGTGATCATTAGCCCTCGGTGTGAGTCACTGGATGCGACAAATGACATCACCATGTATTTACAATCTTTAGTTACATCAACAAACAACCGACTGAACTCAAAACTCTGTTGTTGAAAACGTTTCTTCACTACGACACTTAATATTTCACTTTTCTTCACATTCGGTTCGATTGGATGGAAACAGATAAAAGTTTAAAATCTAAACGTCCACCATCGACACAGAGCTGCTTCAAATACAAGGAGGTCACACTGTGTTTAAATCTAAATTTATACTTTTTCTTATTTAGTTCCATCCCTGGGTTTAAACAGTAAATGTAAAGTCCAGGGTTTTTCTGCAGGTAAATGTGATAACTCTTTATTTTAGGGTCTAGAATTAATTTATTCTCTGTGAAGAACTATGAACATTTGGAGCAGTTATAGATGTAGCTCCATTTGAATCCAACTAAATATTCATTATTTATTTACTGTATTACTGTATTACTATTTTTAAATTTTGTGCCTCAGAGCTGCAGCAATTAGTTAATTAATCTATTAATCAATCAATAATGTATCATTGTATGCATTTTTTTTAAAGTTAACATGTCAAATATTTGATGCTTTTCTTTGTCACACATGAAAGTGAACTGATTCATGTTATTGGGCTTTACGCTGCAGAAAACCCTGGATTCTAAATATTTCTAATAAAACATAAGTTTCAGCGATATGTTGCATTTTTATAAATGTCACAAACGTATTATTTAAACCCTCTGTAAAACTATTTCAGAAACTATTTAATTTGCATAATAACCCCAAAAAGCTGAATTAGGAGAAATAAGTCATTGTTGTTTAACACTGCAGTTAATGGAAAAGCACCATGTTAGAATTAAAGGTAATTTTTCATTATAATGAATGGAAACGAGAAGCTGCAGGCTGCTGCTAAACAGCCACAATACGTCAAAACCTGAATTTATGCCAAATAAACTCTGAGATATCAACGTTTAACAGTCCACTGATTTGAATTCAGTGCATTTAATTTATTAAAACTGCGCTGATTATAAAGCTAGCACATCTTAAATATAGTTTTTACTCTGAAAATACCTTAAATACTAATTTTATTAAATAAATTGCGTGTTTCTATATTTCTGATAAACCATCCAGCGCTAGTGTCTTTAAATTCCAAAATACTCAGATATCAAAAATATTCCAGTTTGGTCCGTTCTGCTGCCTCTGAGTCAAACACTGAGTTAAACACACAGCTGCCTTCGTGAGAGACAATGATAAACACATAAATTAAAGCACAGCAGTGTGTTTGGAGACTTTCATGCTCTGAAATTAAATACATTCGAAACGTGATGTGGGTGTCATATTCTGTTTTTTATATAAAAGCTTAGAAAGAGTTAATTCTCTGATGTTTGGTCATTGTCAAATCACAGAACCAGAGAAAACATTTCAGTCCATCACATGTGATCCGTGCTATAAAGTCAAGAAGTGGGCAGGGTTATATTTTAGTTAAATATGACTTTTCGTCATTAGTCATTTTTTTTATTCACATATTTTATTGTAATTATGTTCTAAATTGTATTTTATTTAGGGCATTTGAAACTCTGAGAGAGGCAACTACATGTCCCAGAGTGCACTGAGGCCAGAAACAGCCAATCATATGCTTAGAATGGCCGTTATTTTACTTAGTTGAAGGTTAATAATTTCAGGAATTGAAAGAAGTGAAGTGAATATTGATCGATACATCACATCGGAATTAAAAAAAAAAAAAACTTTAGAAATATTAATATTGGCCTGAAAAAAATCCAGTTTTCTATCAGACTTTAGTTCTGAGGGAGCTTTTTCCAGAGACAGCTGCTGAGCCTTGTGGGTAATGTAGTATTTATCCATTTAACTCACCAAACTAAAGGGATGAAAATGTGATTTTGTCATAAAGAAAGTGAATATATCTGTATATCTGATGACCCTGTTTCATCCTCTGTTCCTGTTCTGCACAATATTGATGTTAATTTGAATTTTATTTTGTGCAAAGTTAAATTCTACATAAAGAGCTTTCCCACTTCCTGACTTTACTTTTCTCTGTTGTCTCGCCGTCCTTAAAGGAGACAAGACAGCGAGCAGCGCGTCAGTGTGATGGACTGAAACGAGACAACATGGTTCTCTGTTTGTCAAACGAACTCAGCCGCGGTCTGATCCCCGCTCTACCTCAGCCGGGCGGAGAAGCAGCGCATGTACTCCGTCATCCAGCGGTCTTCCACCACCATCAGCTGAGACCGTCTTATCTTCTCCAGGTCGGCCGAGCGAGCCCGCCGCCGGTCCAGGTTGGAGCTCCGTTTGTCGGACTCCCGCCGGGTCTGAACGCAGGCGTCGGACGTGTGGCTCTGAGAGGAGAAACCAGAGAGAGAGAGAGGAGTCGTTTCCGAAAAGCACACCGGTGTTTTATTATTAATGTTTGCAGAGTGTTTGGTGACACGGCTTCACTTCTCTGGTGTCCCGTGAACAAGGTCGAGCTCTGAAGGACTCAACGTCCTGACTTTTAAATTCTACATCCTAGACCCCTAGCTGCTCTTTTTAAATTAAATTTTAAATTATAAACAATATTAAAGTATAAGGCTGAAGAATAATATTGTATAAAATATAAAATATATCAGGAACAAAGACAATACTTGTACAAATACTATTATCTAATTTTACTTTTTCCACTGTTTTCATATAATTCAAAGTCCTATAAAGCCCTGAAATGATTTTTCCCCTCATCTCTCTACTGTCAGATATCAAACTAAGGCAAAAAAATATCAAATGTTTATTAAATATCTCCTTAAAATATCTTTCTACTCCCTGACTGTCACCTGTCAGGGCATCACAGATGATTATCTTCCCTCTTCAAAAGCTGTAATCTTCCAGCACCGACTGCCTTTTAGCTCAAAACCATCTTTTACAAATTCAAATGTCACGCCCTTTCCACAGCTACACAACAGCTGACTGTCAGTTTTTAGATCTCCCTTCCCTCCAGTCATTTGTTAATTTGGTTCACTATGAAAGTCACCTTTCATCGAGAGACTGAGCTCAGTAATCCATGATCATTTCTCAATTATATAATTATATCACAGGAACCATTTGGTAAATATCCTCTGACATCTGATAAGATTGCAAAAAAAAGCTCTGTGAAACGACAGATAATGTTAATCTTGTAGTTTTATTTAAATACGTTTTTTTTGTTTGTTTGTTTTTACACAAGACTCTGGAACATCTGTGAATGCCCCAACAAAAAGGAGTTTTCAAAACAGTCCGAGCTTGTGACTTCAAGACCACATAAACATGACGTAGATTTAAAAATGTAACAAATTATTCACTTGATTTGCTTTTTTATTGCTTCCCAAACAGGAGTCTGAACAAACTGGTCCTCAGCGATCCTGCCTGAGGGAACGTGGAGAAATGATTTCTGATCATGCTCATGTCTTCTGGACTTGTCCTTCTATCCAGACTTTTACAACAATTATCTCAAAAAACCCTGAGTTTTAATATCAATACAACATTCACATCCCTCTATTTCGGACATATTCCTGATGGACTAAGCAAAGATGATCCCTATCTCCTCAATAATATGTTGGCAGCAAGTCTGCATTACAAAACATACAGTCAGACATCTTTCTTCTTCTAGAACAGATGACTGACCCCAGACAACTCCAAAAACAACTGGGAGAAAAACGCTGTAAAAATGTTGTGTTTATTTAGCCAACGAGACAGAGGATTTATAAGTGTTGTATGTAACGTAATATTTCTTTTTAAATTAGGCAAATTTTCCTTGACTTATTGATCATCCCATGACCTCATATTTGTTTGTTCCCCTTTTCTTTCTTTCCTGTTTGTTATATGTTTGACATGACGTGAAAAATGTTCATAAATATCTCCTGCATCCACCACACTGACTACGAGTGTTAGTTTCATCTGTGAGTGGTCATAATGTTGACTCACAGTGACCATGTTAAATTTGTCTTTTTACGTGTTTCCCTCAGTGTCTGTTTCAAGCTTTTAGAAACACACTGTCTTAAACTCACATCATTGGGCGTCCTCCTGACCTCCGTCTGTCTCTCGGTCCAGTCCAGCCGGCTGGACGGTCTCCGGTTCTCCTTCTCCTTCTCCTTAGTGCTGATTGGTGGTTGGCTCTTTGCTCTCTGCTGTTTGCGGACGACAGCTGGTTTGTCGTCATGCGAACTGTCCGGGTGTCCTGGCTCAGAGTGAGGGGTGCGGCGACGGTGTCGCCTTCTCGGTACCGGGTTCACCGGCTCCCCGTCAGAAGAAGCCGTGTCAGCCGGCCCGTTGTCTGTCGCTGTGTCATCTGAATGTCCGCTGGTGTTTGGAGCCGCCGCCACAGAACCTCCGCTCGCTTCATTCACACCGTTCTCTACAACTAGTGAAAATGTCCATTAACATCTCTCACAGTCTGTTTGTCCAACAAACAGTCCAAAACACAAAGATACATATGACAGAGAGAAGCATCAAGTCGTCATATTCCAGAGCTGTAAATAGAGAAAAGACTGATGGTATGACGATTATTAAAATGTTGCAGATTGTGCATTTTCCATTAATTAATCAGTCAACTAATTGCTTCAACTCCAGTTTTGACCAGCTCTTAGATCTATGCCGTGTTAGCAGACGTATTAACACTAGGGCTCAAGGGCATAGGTTTGCATATGGAACATTTGAGTTCTTATCGCACAATATTTGGAGTGACGTCATATTAGATTATTACAATGTGCCCTCCAAGAGGCTACGTCTCCAAGGCAACTGGTTTAAGCATGCTAGCATTTGATTGGCTGAAAGGGCGAGGGCTATCTGAAGGCTCATGTCATGTGAGAATGTGACATATGACATTTTTATAACTTTGTATACCTTACTATACTATGACATACATTACATATACTATGACTTTTTACTACACTATGTTGTTTTGTTGACTTTTCATGCCTCACAATAATATGATGTTTTCATGACTTTTTATGCCTTACTATACTATGTTGGTTTTTTTTTATTTTTTATACCATACCATGACTTTGTATGTCCTACTATACAATGTTTTTATGCCTTACTATACTATGATGTTTTTATGACTTTTTATGCCTTACTATACTATGATGTTTTTATGCCTTACTATACTATGTTGTTATTCTGACTTTTTATGACTTACTATACTATGATGTTTTTATGCCTTACTATAGTGTGACATTCTTATGTCTTACTATACTGTTTTGTTNCCTCACAATAATATGATGTTTTCATGACTTTTTATGCCTTACTATACTATGTGTTTTTTTGACTATGTATACTATGACGTTTTTATGACTAATCTATGATGGTTTTATGCGTTAGTCAACTATGATGTTTTTTTTGACTTTTTATGCCTGACTATCNTTTTATGCCTTACTATACTATGATGTTTTTATGACTTTTTATGCCTTACTATACTATGATGTTTTTATGCCTTACTATACTATGTTGTTATTCTGACTTTTTATGACTTACTATACTATGATGTTTTTATGCCTTACTATAGTGTGACATTCTTATGTCTTACTATACTGTTTTGTTTTTTTTTACTTTTTATACCATACTATGCCCTACTATACTATGTTTTAATGCCTTACTACACTACACTTACTACTTCCCGGGCCTGTGGCCTTTCTATGTGCTGACATGTTTTGAGGTTATTGTATTTAGTTTAAATGGGTATGTTTTTGGTATGGGTATCAGCCACTATTTAAGTCTCCCCTATGTTTCAGTCAGTAAGATCAGTTTGTGCAGAACCTTTTTAAACCTCACTATACTATGATGTTTTTAAGCCTTACTATACTATGATATTTTCATGACTTATTATATTATCATGTTTTTATTCTATGATGTTTTTCTGACTTTTTATGCCTTACTATACAATGTGTTTTTTTGACTATGTATACTATGACGTTTTTATGACTAATCTATGATGGTTTTATGCGTTAGTCGACTATGATGTTTTTATGACCTTTCATGCCTTGCTATACTATGATTTTTTTTATGCCTTACTATGCTTTCATGCTTTTATGCCTTATTATGCTATCATGTTTTTATTCCTTTCTAAGCTATGACTTGCCGGGCCTGGGGCCTTTCAATGTGCTGACATGTTTTGAGGTTATTGTATTTTGTTTAAATGGGTATGTTTTAGTCTATCCCCTTTTGTGTCTGAAAGGCCTGATCAGCCACTATTTATGTCTCCCGTGTTTCAATCAGTAAGATCAGTTTGTGCTGTTAAGTTCACATCTGTAAGTACTTGAGTTTAGTTCTGTTGCATTGACCCTTATGGGCCCAGAATTATAATTGAGGTATTTTTGTGAATAAAATAATGAACATTAACTTCCAAAGATCTGTGTCTCTCTGGTCTTTCTGCTTGATCCCCGACACCTTTCTATGCCTAACTATACTATGATGTTTTTAAGCCTTACTATACTATGATATTTTCATGACTTATTATATTATCATGTTTTTATTCTATGATGTTTTTCTGACTTTTTATGCCTTACTATACAATGTGTTTTTTTGACTATGTATACTATGACGTTTTTATGACTAATCTATGATGGTTTTATGCGTTAGTCGACTATGATGTTTTTATGACCTTTCATGCCTTGCTATACTATGATTTTTTTTATGCCTTACTATGCTTTCATGCTTTTATGCCTTATTATGCTATCATGTTTTTATTCCTTTCTAAGCTATGACTTGCCGGGCCTGGGGCCTTTCAATGTGCTGACATGTTTTGAGGTTATTGTATTTTGTTTAAATGGGTATGTTTTAGTCTATCCCCTTTTGTGTCTGAAAGGCCTGATCAGCCACTATTTATGTCTCCCGTGTTTCAATCAGTAAGATCAGTTTGTGCTGTTAAGTTCACATCTGTAAGTACTTGAGTTTAGTTCTGTTGCATTGACCCTTATGGGCCCAGAATTATAATTGAGGTATTTTTGTGAATAAAATAATGAACATTAACTTCCAAAGATCTGTGTCTCTCTGGTCTTTCTGCTTGATCCCCGACACCTTTCTATGCCTAACTATACTGTGACTTTTTATGCCTTACTATACTATGACATTTTTATGACTTTTTATGCCTTCCTATACTATGATGTTTTTCTGACTTTTTATGCCTTCCCATACTATGACGTTTTTCTGACTTTTTATGCCTTACAATACTATGTAGTTTTTATGACTTTTTAAGTCTTACTATACTATGACTTTTTATGCCTTACTATACTATGACGTTTTTATGCCTTACTATACTAGGACGTTTTATTGACTTTTTCTGCCTTACTATACTATGACTTTTTATAACTTACTATACTATGACGTTTTTATGACTTTTTATGCCTTACTATACTATGACGTTTTTATGACTTTTTATGACTTACTATACTATGACGTTTTTATGACTTTTTATGACTTACTATACTATGTCGTTTTTATGCTTTACTATACTAGGACGTTTTATTAACTTTTTATGCCTTACAATAGTATGACTGTTTATGCCTTACTATACTGGGATGTTTTTATGACTTTTTATGCCTTACTATACAATGACGTTTTTATGCTTTACTATACTAGGACGTTTTATTAACTTTTTATGCCTTACTATACTATGTCGTTTTTATGACTTTTTATGCTTTACTATACTATGAATATACTATACTATGACGTTTTTATGACTTTTTATGACTTACTATACTATGTCGTTTTTATGACTTTTTATGCCTTACTATACTATG